GCCACTGGGGACAGACCCCAGCGTGCGCAGGGGGTGGTGCTAATGTGGCTGAGACACTTTTAAGTTAACATTCTACTGCTGTAGGATCCAGGCCAAAGATTTACCAAATCTGATGAAAGATATGCATCTACACACTTAAGAAACTGAACAAACTCTAATAGGATAAACACAAGGAGATCTACCCTGAGGCAGATTTCATCAAGATTTCAAAAGACAATTTTGTAAATAGCAAGAGATCCTTATAAACAGCAAGCTACATGCACATCAGATATTAGGGGTCTTCAGCAAGATTAACAGCAGAATACTTTTCAGACACCCTGGAGGCCAGGAGGCAATGGGATGACATACTTCAAGTGCTAAAAGCATAAAACAGACAACAAGGAATTCTGTGTCTGGCAATGCTGTCCTAAATAGAAGAAAGAAAGATAAAGACATTCCCAGGTAAACAAATGCTGAGAGGGTTCATCAACAGAAGACCTGCCCTACAAGAAATGGAAAAGGGAGCACTTTACTCTGACAGCTAAGGACACTAGCCAGTAACTTAAATACACAGGAAGAAACAAAGATCAGAGTAAAGGTAACTATGCAGCTAAATACAAAATCCAGGACGATTATAGTTCTTTTTTTCCCCTATACAATTTAAAAGACAAATGCACAAAACAATAATTATAAATATGTTAATGGTCCCACCATACATAAAGATATAAACTGTGACAATAACTTAAAGGTAAGAACAGAAAGGTATAGAAACAGTCTTTGTATATACTATGCAAGCTCAGTTTGTATTAGTTCTGTTTGTATTAGTATTGTTTTAAGTTTAAGCTGTTGATTGCAACCCCCAGGTAACCACTAAGAAAATAACTAAAAAACATGAAGTACAGGAAATGAGAAGGGGATCCTTATAGTACACTAATAAAAATCAAACACAAAAGGAAGAAACAAAACATGTGACACAGATACAAATGTAAAAAGATATGACAAGATCTAGAAAACAAATAATGGTAGAAGCAAGTCCTTCCTTATCAGTAATTAATTTTAACATAAATGGGTTAAACACTCCAATTAAAAGGCAGAGACTGGCAGAACTGTTAAAAAACACAGGATCCCACGACTCTCTTGTCCCCTCCTGGCCTGAGGGCTCTGTCCTTTCACTTTCTCTCTAAATAAAAGCCTCTGCCTTGCTCTCCTAAAAAATAATAATAAATAAAATAAAATAAAATCTATTTTGTCTGAAAAATAAAAACAGGATCCAACTATATGCTGTCTGCTTGACAAAATTTTAGATCCAAAGGTGCACACAGGTTGAAAGTGAAGGGCTGGGAAACCATTACATGCAAACAGTAGCGAAAAATGAGCTGAGGTAGCTATCCTAATGTCATACAAAATAGACTTGCAGTCAAAACTTGTTAGAAGTGTCAAAGAAAGACTTTATAATGATAAAAGTGTCAAATCATCAAGAAGATATAATAATTACAAACATTTGCACACCAACAACTGAGTCCCAAAGTATATGAAAGAAAATTACCAGAACTAGTGGGAGAAATAGATAGTTCTACAGCAAGAGCTGGGGACTTCAATACCCCACCTTTAATCATGGATAGAACAACCTGAGAGATCAATAACAGAGGACATGTATAACACTATAAATCAACTAGACCTAACAGACATATACGGAACACCAACAGAATACACATCCCTCTCAAGTGCATGTGGAACATTCCAGAAGAGACAATATGTCAGGCCACAAAATAAGTTGCAATAGATTAGAAAAGGTTAAAATCATACAAAACATATTCTTCCAACCACAATGGACTGAGGCTGGGAATCAGTAACAGAAAGTAAGCTGAAAAATTCAGACATGTGAAAATGAAACAACATATACTCTTAACCAGTGGATCAAAGAAGAAATTACAAGGAAAATTAGAAAATACTTTGAGATGAATGAAAATGAAAACACAGCATAACAAAACTTCTGGTATGCAGCAAAAGCAGTTCTCAGGAGGAAATTTATAGCTGGAAATGCCTACTAATAAAGGAGAAACACCTCGAATCAATAACTTTACATCTTAAGGAACTAGGATAAGAAGAGCAAACTAAACCCAAAGGTTGCAAAGGAACGAAATAATAAAGCGAGGAATGGAGAAAGCAAACCAGGAAGTAGAAAAACAGTAGAGAAAAATCAACAAAACAAAAAGTTGGTTCTTCCAAAGATCAACAAAGTTGACAATGAAAGTGGGGACATTACTACTGACCTGACAAAAATAATAAGGATCATAAGGCAGTACTATGAACAATTATACATCAACAGATTCATCTAGAGGAAATGGACAAATTCCTAGAAACACACAAGCTACCAAAAGTAACTCAAGAAGAAATAGAGACTCTAAACAGACCCATAATAAAGAGACTGAATCTCAACAAAGCAAAGCCTTGGATGAGATGGCTTCAATGGCGAATTCTACCATCTGAAGAAGTTAACACCAACCCTTCTTGAACTCTTCAAAAAAAGAGAAGAGGGAGAACCGGTCACTAACTCATTCCATGAGACTAGCACTAGCATGGCCTCAAAGCCCAGATAAGGATGTCACAAGAAAAAGATACAGACTAATATCCTTTACGAATATTTTTTCAAAAGTCCTCAACAAAACACTAGCAAACTGAACCCAGCTGTCTGGTAAAAGAATGGGGCACCATGACCAAGTGAGATTTCTCATATGAACATCAGTCAATATAACATATGACAAATGATAATAACAGAACGAAGGGGGGGAAAACCCACGTGATCATCTTAACTGATGCAGGAAAAGCATTTGGCAAAACTCCAAACCCTTTCAATATAAAAATAATAAACTAGGACTAGAAGGAACTTCCTCCACATAAGGTTGTATGTGAAAAACTCAGTGGACATTATACTGAATGGTGAAAGGCTGAAAGCTTTCCTCCTGAGGTCAGGATCAAGACAATGATGCCTGTTTTTGCCACTTCTGTTTAACATTTTACTGGAGGTTCTAGTCAGGGCAATCACACAGGAAAAAGAAAGAAAACACAACCAAATGGGAAAGCAGGAGGCAAAACTATATCCACAAGTGACCTGATCTTATATGTAGAAAAACATAAAGAATACATTTAAAAAAGGACTAGAGATCGTTAAAACTTTACCAAATTTGCAGGATCCAAGATTAAGACATGAAAGTCTTTTATATTTTTACATATGAACAATGAACAATTCCAAATAGAAATTGAAAAAATAATTTCACTTACAAGAGCATCAAAAATAATGAAATAAGAAGAAATTTAATTGAGGAGATGAAAGACTTGCACATGAAATATACAAAACATTACTGGAAGAAATTAAAGGCCTAAATAAATGGAACTATATCCCATGTTCATGGCTTGGAGACTTATTAAGATGACAGTACTCCCTCAAAGCAAGATATAGATCCAGCGCGATTCCTATCCGAATCCCAATGTCCTTTAAGTAGAAATTAATAAGCTGACCCTAAAATTCATATGGAATATCAAAAGACCCCAAATAACCACAACAATGTTGAAAAAGTGTAACAAAGTTGGAGGAACCACACGTCCAAATTTCAAAACATACTCTATAGCTACAGGATTCAAACAATGCGGTCCTGGCATAAAGATAAACATACAGACCAATGTAATACTTTGCGAGTCTAGAACTAAACCCATTCATCTATGGTCAATTTTTGACAAAGGTGCCAAGACAATTCAATGGAGGAGAGAATAGTGTCTTCCAACAAATGGATATCCAAATGCAAGAGAATGAAGTTTGGACTCCTACCACGTACCACACACAAAAATAAACTCAAAATGGATCGAAGACATACATGTAAGAGCTAAAACTATAAAACTCTTCAAGAAAACATGGAGATAAATCTTCATGATCTTAAATATGGCAATGGTTTCTTACTGATGGTTTCTTATACTACCGAACTGTATATTTGAAAAGGGTGAATTTTATGGTGTGTGAATTTTTAGACATGACATCAAAAGCATAAGCCATAAAAGAAAATATAAATATTTTAGGCTTCAGCAAAGTTAAAAAATTTTGAACATCAAAAGACACTATCAAGAAAGTGACAAGAAACCTACAGAATGGGAGAAAATATTTGCAAATCATGTACCTGATAAGGGTCTGGTATCCAGAATATATGAAGAACTATTTTAACTCAGCAAAGACAACTCAATTTAAAACTGGGTGAAGAACTTGAATAGGCATTTCTCCAAGATATACAAATAGCCAACAAACACATGAAGAGATGCTCACCACCACTAGTCATTAGAGAAATGCAAATCAAAACCACAATGAGATACCACTTCACACCCCCTGGGATGATCAAAGTTTTTTAAATTGGAAAATAACAAGTGTTGAGAATGGGGAGAATTATAACCCTTATCCAATGTTCATGGAAATGTAAGACGGTCCAGCTGCTGTGGGACACTGTTGGTTCCTGAAAAATGTTAAACCCTGTGATCCAGCACTGCACGCATAAATATATATGCAAAAGAATTTAAAGTGTTCAAACAAAAGTTTTGTACACTAATGTTCACTAATGTTCATAGCAGCTTTAGACACAAGACCCAAAAAGTATAAACAACATCAATGTATCAATGGATGAATGGATTAACAAAATGTGGTCTATCCATACAAAGGAATACTATTCAGCCATAAAAAGGAGTGGAGTTCTGCTACATACTATATAACATGGATGAATTTTATGCTAAGAGAAAGAAGCCAAACAAAAAAAGGCCACATCGTGTAGGATTCTAGTTACATGAAGTATCCATAACAGGTAAATACCTAAGGACAAAAAGCTGGTTAGTGGCTGCCAAGGGCTGGAGAGAGGGGTTAATGGGCTGTGTCTGCTTAGTTGTTACAGGATTCCCTTTGGGAGTGATGAAAACATTTTGGAACTTGATAGAGTTGATGGTTATACACTGTGAAGTACTCAATAACTCAATACCACTGAACTGTGTACTTCAAAATGGTGAATTTAATGTTATATGGATTAAACCTCAAAAAGAATTTAGGAATTAAGTACAGATACATGCTACAATATGAGTGAACTTTGTAAATATTATGTGAGTAAGAGAAGCCAGGCACAAAAGACTACACATTATATGAAGTGTCTGCAGTGGTTAATGCATAGAGACAGAAAGCAGGTAAGTGGTTGTCGGTGGTGGAGAGGGGGAGGGCCCTAGGACAAATATGGGATTGAATTTTGAGATTAGAAAAATCTTCTGCAATTAGAGTGATGGTGGTTGCATGACTTTGTCAACATACTGAACACCACTGAATTGTATACTTTAAAGGGTGAATTTCATGGTTTGAGAAATTAAATCCCAATTTATAAAACACCTGAGGCCTTTCTGACACAGCCCTTCCGTGACCCCAACACGCCTGCAGGCTGGGCCCGGCTGGCCTCCCTCTGGACTCTGGCTTCTGGCTCACGGTCTCTGGAAGGGAGAGGGAACTGAGTGTGGACAGAAGTCCTGCCTTTCCCAGGGAGCTGGAGTGGACAGCAGGCCAGGAGAGAACAGAGCAGGCCCAGGGGCGGCCCGGCTGCACATGGACTGAGTTCGGGGTTGCAGCCCAGAACTAGTGGACAAGGATAACGCCCCCTCCCCACCCGGGTGTCCCTGCCTTACACTGTTTCTCCTAGACATACCCTCAGCCGGTCACCCAGCAGTCGGTCCGGTTCTGGAACTCGGAGGAGGAGGCCACGACACAGGCTGGATGTACGGACTGTAGGCGCCCCTGGGGGAGAGGGCTGATGGGAAAGGCCCACCTTCTCCAGCCTGGCCTGTCTGGGCCCAAGGACCTCTCAGCACCCCGTCGAGCTTCTCCTGGGGCTGGGTCCCCCAGCCACACCCTCTGATAGGGCCCAGGAACCAGCGCACCAAGCAGGCCTCTTGTGCATGACCTGGGATCCTGGCCGCCCCCTGGCCACCCCCTTCTCTACCCACTCCTTCCTCCAGGAAGGGCCAGCACTCCCCACAGTCAGCACTCCCCACAGGGCACCCTGACCAGTGGGTGTTGAGGGCCCATTTGGGGCCTAGCAGTGTCGGGCTGAGCCAGGAAGGGAAGATCCCTCACCAGACTCTTCTGGGGAAATGGCCTTGGCTTTTGTCTTTCCAGGAGTGCAAAGCCGGACTCTGTCCGTGTGGCAGGCCCCAGGCGCCCCCCGAACCTGTCCTCCAGGTAAATGCTGGGAGTTGAACCTTTCTCAAACTTTCTTGCAGGGTCCTGGACAAAAGAAAATCACCGGAATGGAAGAGAGAGACCCCACTAGGCTGTCCATCCCTGTCACGGGTGACTGGGGTCCTGGGAGGGCTGCGTCTGCTGGCCCTCTCCAAGTCCTGAACATTAACTACCAGGGATGTGGTGGAATTCACAGTGATGAATTTCCCGCCACCGGCTTCTGGAGGCCCCTCCAGGCAGTGGCGCCTTGGAGCCTGTCTGACTGGCACAAGGCACTCCAGGTGTCCACTTTCGGGGAGACCTGGTTCTCAGGCCCAGCAACCCCCTCAGCAGGGCCTCAGTGGCTGGGGCTCATATCAGTGGCCGCATGTGCATGAAGGAGGTCTTCCAGGGCAAGGGCTCACAGTCCTCCCTGGCGTGCCCAGCTGGCTGGCTGCCCAGCATGGCATCCCGGTTGGCGCGTGTCGGATACAAGCTGTGTGGGGCCTTGGGTGTGCAATGACCACAGCGGTGCCTGGGCGGTCAGCCTACAGCTTAGTCTGGATGCTGGACGATCCTGGACACGGACTACGGGTTACCTGCCCACTCGGCTGGCTGTGAGCGCAGGGGCTGCTGCCCTGTAAACCGGCTCAAGGGGCCGTGGCTGTCCTCAGCCACAGCCCCCATCCTACCTGCCCCGCTGCGTCTTGTTCCCACCTGGCTAGGCCCAGGGACCCAGGGGTGCGTCCAGGCTGTCTGGCTGTCAAGAGACAGTCCTGGGGACTGTCAGCAGTGACAGGGACACATGGGCCCTCCTCATCCAGAGAAGACTGGGCACGGGAGGGGGTCTGGGATCAGGAGACCTGGGCAGGGCCACCAGGAGAAAGCCCTGGAGAGGATTTTCTCCAGTGTGAGGGACGAACCGGGGGCTCCAGAGGGTGGAGGGTCTTGGATCGCTGCCCAGGGAAGGAGGAGGCTGTCCTCTCCAGAGAAGATCCCAGAAAGGCCTGGAGAGAAGTTTCTGACATCTCGGGCTGAGCTCTGGATTGTGCTGCCAATCCACGAGCGGTGTAACCTCTCGGAGAACCAGAGGCCGACCAGGGGGTGTCCTGGGCCGGAGGCCGAGACTCCCGCCCCCTGCCCCGTGGAGTGGACTGTAGGGGTCCCACCCACACCTCTGCCCCTGCTTGACGTCCCAGCCCTGTGCTTCCTGCTCCGGCTGCCAGTGTCGGGGCTTCTGGGGAGTGACAGGGGCTGGGGAAAGAGGGAGGGCGGCAGAGAGCAAGCCTGGTGTGGCCCCAGGCCTTCCCCATTCATGCTGTTTCTCCCGCAGCCCTGCCGGGGCTGGGACCCTCCAGGATGTGTGCTCTGCTGCCCACTGAGCCTGGAGACAGGGTCAGTGAGGAAAGCGGGGCCGGGCAGGCTCTGCAGCTGGCAGCCCTGTTCCTCTGGCAAATAGAGGTAATAGGAACACACCCGCCTCAGGGCTTCTGTGGTGCCCAGGACATCCTGTGGGGATAGCCCCCGCAATGGGAGATATTTCAGGTGCGCCCCTCCGGGGCCCCAAGGCACAGTAAGCATTGCCCAGCAGGAGGAATGTCCTGCCAGCTCATTTTTATTGCCTCTCAACACACACCCTGGCAAAGGCCCACACTTTGCACAGGGGCTGAAAAATCCCAGTTCCAAGAGCCCTGAAAGGAATCCCTGAATGGGGGTGCACCCTGGCCCTCAGCCTTGAATGGTGGGGTTGAGGGGGTGAGAAGCAAGGAACGCAAGGCTCTGTCCCCAGGGGAGCCCACGGGGCAGCAGGGAGGGAGAGAGGGCAGCTGGGGCCTGTGCGGGACATGCCTGGGCAAGGGCTGCGTCAAGGACCATGGGGTCTGAGGAGGGGGAGATGTGGGCACTGGGGGGGCTTCCGCAGGGGGGTGGCCAGAGGTTTGGAGGATGGAGGATCCGGTGGATGGTCAAAGGCCACAGTCCAGGGAGGGTTGGGGAGGGGCCCTGCAAACAGCTGTCCTTTGTGCTTCCAGCAGGGAACCAAGAGGGGGCGTGAGTTTGGAAGGCAGGGCCTGAGGTGCAGGGCAGGCTGCCAGGTTAGGCAAGCCCCAGGGAGACCAGGATGCCCCCGAGTGGTCCCAGAAGCAACGGAGAGGCAGAGAAGATCCCAGAAAGGCCTGGAGAGAAGTTTCTTACATCTCGGGCTGAGCTCTGGATTGTGCTGCCAATCCACGTGGTGTAGACGCTGACGTTGGTGTAAACACCTGGCCGCTTGGGGAGGCCGCAGTCAGACCCCCAGCTCACTATGCCTGCCTGGGTCCAGACGCCGTTAATGTCACAGACCAGGGGGCCTCCGGAGTCACCCTGGGGAGAAAGAAGGGACCCTCAAGGGTGGGGCCAGAGGGGTCACTGTTCAGGGCCAGCTGCCCTTCTTCCACAGGGGGACGTGGGGGGCGGTTCAGAGGGCCCCCCAGTACCCCCAGCCGGCCGTCAGCACTGCTGGCCAGGGCTAGTGGACAAAGATCAGTCTACTCTCTGAATAAAACTGTGTTTCAGAGCAGAGGCTCCAGGAGCACTTCTGTGCTGCTAATCATGCTGCTTGCTTTGTTTTTATGAAAAGACAACCTGCCTGAGATTACCAAACACAAAGCAGTGTGGGAGGGGAGAACGCACTGCCCGTGAGGGCGAGAGGCAGTGCAGCCCAGCTCCTCGGGAGGCTTCGTCCAGAGGTTCTGAGTGTAACTGCTTTTGGAAAGAAGAAAGTTTCTGGCCCCAAAGGATGGCTTTACAGATAGGGCTCTGGCCACAGCTTTCTTAAGTACATTTGCAGGTATTTCAGGGTCTGATAATATTTATATGCTATTTGAAAGGATCCAGGAACCATGTTTTTTTTCTTTTTGAGTTGGCCCTTGTATTTAAAACTATGCTGTGTTCTTTTGCCCTGGGGGGTCCCCAGTGGCAATGGGGAGTGGGAGATCCCGGCCCGCACTGGGGGTGCTCGCTCACCCCGCAGGCATCCATCTGGCCATTCTCGAAGCCGGCACAGAGCATGTCCTCGAGGATGATGGGCTCCTGGCAGGGGCTGCCAGAATTCTCATGGTAGTAGCCGTCGCAGGTCTGGGCGTCAATGAGTGGCAGGTGCAGCTCTTGCAGGACGAAGGGTGGAGGCAGTGCTGGGTGGGGAACAGGAGCAGAGCACGGAAGGGAGATGGTCACTTCCTGCTGTCAGCTGCCTCGTCCCTACTCGCGCACAGTTGGCTGGACCCATGACAACAAGCCAATCTGCGTGTCACTCCTTCGCTTCCCAGGAAGCAGGGCCTGTGTTGGTACTCAGGAGACGCTGACGAACACGCCAGGGAGCAAGGTGAGCCTAGGTTCCACCGTGAGAGCCCTAGGAAGACCGTCTCCTTCTGGCCCTGGCGGGGCATGCGCAGAGGCGGGGGGGTGGGGGCGCCCGTCACGCCTCCTCCCAGTGCTCGGGCGGTGGGGCGGGATGGAGACACAGTGGGGTGCAGGGCCTGGCTCTGGCACTGGCCTGTGGTCAAGTGGCTTCCATCGAACGGCCCTACTCTTCTCGGCTTTCCAGGGCTCAGGTCCCAAGGGGGTTGACTAGTGCTGCTCACGAATTCACATCCACCTGGAACCTCAGAATGTTACCTTCTGTGGAAATAGGGGCTCCAGATGTAACTAGTTAAGAGGAGCGTGAGAGTTTCTTTATCAGAGACAGAAGAGAAGAGACACTGGGAGACACCCAGGGGAGAAGATGGCAGACACTGGAGATATGTGGCCACCAGCCACGGAGGGCCATGCAGGCTGGGCACCCCCTGGAGCTGGAGGAGGCAGAAAGGAGCCTACCCTGGGCCTTCAGAGGGAGCGTGGCCCCACTAACTCCTTGGGTTTGAACCTGCAGCTGCCTGAACTGTGAGAGCACATTCCTGCTGTCTTAAGCCACCCAGCTTGTGGCTGTTTGTTACAGCTGTGCCAGGGCCCTCCTGCGAGGTGATGTCATGCCTGCGATGACGACGGCAGAAGAGCCGACTGGACGCTGAGCTCTGGGAACTCACTCCCGCCCCGGCCCTGTTGGCAGTACCTGGAAGGCCCCATCCCATGGGCCCTCCCATTAGACCCATGAGGCTGGAACTCAAGATTGCCACTTGCCAAGGGAGGAAGCCTCGGCCCGGCGGAGCGGCTGGAGGTCACCCAGCCAGGACTGAGGCCAGGCAGTTGGGCCCAGGGACCCCTAGAAGCACAGGGGTTGTGCATGAATCCTCCTGCCAGGGAAAGGGCACAGGCTGCCGGGAAGGACTGGTCCCCAGCACTCCAGGGCTCTCTGCTGGGCCCAGCATTAATCCTGTGGTTACCGGGGAGCCCAAGGGAGGATCTGGGTGGCAGACCGCTTAGTTGGTGGCATGGCAGCATTTTAGGGGCTTCTCTCTGCTGTGGCCATCCTGTGTGAGGGTACGGAGGCACCCCAGCCCCACCTTCCCTCACCCCACGCTCTTGGTGTCCTTACGCAGATTCGTGCCGATGTTCCCCCAGCCTGTGACCCAGCACCAGGTGCCGTGACCCAGGGGGTCTCCAGGCCTGGGGAGGCAGACGGGAAGGATGAGGTCGCTGAAGGTGACAGGCGAGGCCAGCTGCACCAGGGCAATGTCCCCGCTTCCATGCTCCTCTGAGTAGTGTGGATGGGTGACGACCTGGGCCACGGCTCGGAGCTCCTGGGGCTCGTGGGCCTGCGGGTAGGAGGAGATGGAGCCCAGCAGCACGAAGTAGGCCGACAGCGGCTGTTTCCTGGGGGAGCCAAGGGGGTCGTAAAGGCTGTGGTCCCATGGGCGGGGCCTAAGGATGATCTTGATTCGAAGGTCCTAACGTTGCGACTGGACTTTTCTAGGAGCTGAGCACATGGCAATAATGACAAGTACCTATTTAATCCTTGAGGTCACCCTGCACCCCACCCAGGACTCCCTCTATTGGGCGGGTCAGAAACAGGTTTGGGAGGTGAGGTCACCTGTGCAAAGGCTACCCAGGGAGTGAGCAGTGGTCTCGAAGCCTCTGATGTGGGAACTCTGGTTTCTGGGAAATGGATTCTTTCTCGGGAGGTGGACAGTGGGAGGGTGAGGGCCAGGTCTGTGTCCTCCCCTCCGGCACCAAGTGCCGTGACCCAGGGCAATCCAAGTGCCCAAACTGGGTCCATCCTGGGTGGATAAGTGCGAGCAGGTGGACACATCCCTGGCCTCTCTCCTGCCCAGATGGGCAGAAAAGGCTGCTGTGAAAATGGGGAAGGAAGGGTGTTGGGGAAGGGTGGAGGGCAGGTCCTGGCTGGTGTGGCTCCCGCTCATGGCCCCCAGATATACTCACTGGTCTAAGCAGTGGGCTGCAGTCAGCACCCAGGCCTCGGTGATCAGGGAGCCCCCACATACGTGCTGTCCATTCTCTCTCAGGCTGACCTGCCATGGCCACTGGCCCGGCTGGGCATCCTGTCCCGACACGATGCGGCCTGACACATGTGGGTGCCCACACACTGCAGGGTGAGCCCATGAGCAGGTTATATGCAGTCCCTGTGAGCTCCCTGAGTGTAGCCCACCCACATTCATCCCCGCCCTTGGCAGACTGGCATCTGTCCCCTCTTCTCAGGATCGGCAGGTGCAGTTCCTTGTGACACAGGACCCTTTGCTCATGGTAGGACTGGATGACCCTGGGGGGTGCACAGTAGCTGAGTTGGGGGACGTGGGAGCTGGGGGCCTGGACCACTCAGCTGAGCTTAGTGGGGAGAAGGAAGGTGGAGTGGTGGGGCTGGGGATGTGGGGGCTCTGGGTGTAGCACACAAGACACAAATGCACCTGGCTGGTGGAGCAGAGGCTGGGGTCTGTGTGAGGGGCCCCTGATGTCTGGGTTCCCCAAAACAGACTCCTGGGGCAGAACTGGGCTCACACACCTGTCTACCTGCCCGACTGAACCCGGCTCTCTGCAGCCGCGCCTACCTCCCCCACCCCAGTGTCTGTCCTACCTGAATCCAGATCTCTCACACTGGCATTCCCCGGGGAGAGGTTGGATGGGAGAGCTGGGGGACTCTCCTGGGGGGCTCCCGGAAGGAGGGAGAACAGGATGATGGCAAGGGCCAGCTCCATGGCGTGCTCCAGTACTGCTTCCTGGCTGGCTCTGGGGGTCAGAGTCCTCGGACGTTCAGGAACGGGAAGAGAACTGAAGTTCCTGCCTGAGTTTCTGGGCTTGTCCTTGGGTAGGGCTGACACCTCCACTCTTTTCTTGGGCCCTAGGCCCCCCCACTGCTCCTGGGCACAGGGTCCCTGGCCTCCTCCACATCTTTGGCAAGAGCCTCAGACCTTCCCTCCCCTGCCCTGGCATCGTAGGTGTATGGGGCGCTTATGTGCGCTGGCACTAGACCAGCCATGCCCCTTACCTCTTGCCTGATTCCCTGGGAGCTCTTATGATCCCCAGCCTACAGCAGAGGAAGTGAGGTTTCCATGGTTGAATGACTTGGCCCAAGGCCCTACTGGGGACAAAGCCTGAGAAATACTTGGCATCCTGCGCTGCGGTGCCTGGTGCCCCTTCTGGGAGACAGGGCTGGGGAGTGGCCCTGCGGCTCTGAGACATCTGGTATGTGAGCATTCACCCCACTTTGACCTTGCTTACAATTTCTTGGCCAATATATATTTTAAAGTCGAAACAAAATTTAAAAAAAGAAAGAAAGAAAAAAAAAACACTTAGAACTCGCATAAAATTAAACTTCCTGCCTTACCTGTGGCTGCTCTTGTTGGACTAGACCTGCTGGAATACCTGTGAAATAGTAAAATACTTCTGCTAACAGTATTATCAATTTTTGTGATTGCAAAAGAAACAAGTTTCGTAGGACCTTCTGATGGGGATAAAGACACATCCTGCCTGCTTGAAATTTTTGTTTTTAGTTTGGTCCCAGGTGTGTTGAGAACACCTTTATTACCAGAATTATGTAAGAGCCAGCAGGTGTCAGTCAACCTGATGTAAAGACATCATGAAAGTCTTTATCCCCGTCATCAGTGTGTTCCTTAAGACGCACACGTGTTTGGGCTCATAGGTACCTGGTTGCCTGCCGAGTGTGGCACTAACGAGGTAAAATGTGCAGAGCCCCGCACTGTGGTCTGACTGTGTGTGTCCCTGTCTTGCCAGAGGGTTTCAGCCCTGGGCAAGTTCGCTATGGATTCAGTGTGACCAAAGAAAATGACAGCAAAATGTTCTTGGGGTGAAAGGGTTATACCCAAGTTTATTTCCAGGTGGCAGGTCAGTCACTAGAATCCCGTTCACTCAAACAGCCGTCCTCTGGGCCTCTCTGCAGTCGTCCCACACAGCTGTCCTCTGGGCCTCTCTGCAGTCATCCCACACAGCTGTCCTCTGGGCCTCTCTGCAGTCGTCCCACACAGCTGTCCTCTGGGCCTCTGTCCTTGGTGCTATCACCACTCCAGCCTCTGCTCTGCTCTCCTGCAACCTTGCAGCTGTGTCACCGTGTTGTGCCCAGAGTACTGGGCAGAGCTCTTTATATAGAGTCAACAGCCATGTATTGCCCACAGGTGTGCAGTGAGCTAGTCAGCCAGGGCCAGGTGAGAATCCTGGCCACAGGAACTCTCATTTTATCCACAGTCCCCCAAAATGCATATGTCAAAATCCTAACCTCTGGGGTGACCGTGTTCAGAGGTGGAGCCCCTCAGGAATGGGATTAGTGCCCTTATAAAAGAGACGCTGGATTGCTCCCCGCCCATTCCGTCACGTGAGGACACGGGGCAAAGGCGACCGCTGCAGACCAGAAGTGGGCCCTCCCCAGACGCCCAACGCGCGAGCGCAGTGATCTCAGACTTCCCGCCAAGGAACCGCAAGATATAAATGTTTGTGTATGAGCCCCCTGCCACATTTGGTGGTATTTGTACGGCAGCCCAAATGCACGAGGACACCTGGGAAGCGCCTGACTCAGCAACGAGCCTTCAGTCCTCTCCCCCGGGGTTCTCATGATGTTCCCAGTTTCTCTTAGGAACGTGCAGAGTGACGGATCCTCTGCATCCTCAGACTTGCTCAGTCTGGGGCAGTTCACACGGAGGCAGCAAGACCCGGGGTGTAGGGAATCAAGCCCGAGGGCGCGCCCGCCTCCCCACCGCTCTGCTGATGGGGATCGGAGCCCAGCCTGATCCTCATCTTAATCCTTTATTTTATTTTCCTTAAAGTGCTTTTTTTTTTAAATTTAAATTTAAATTTTTTTAATTTTTAATTTTGGTATCATTAATCTACAATTACATGAAGAACATTATGTTTACTAGGCTCCCCCCTTCACCAAGTCCCCCCCACAAACCCCATTGCAGTCACTGTCTATCAGCATAGGAAGATGTTATAGAATCACTACTTGTCTTCTCTGTGTTGCGCAGCCCTCCCCATGCCCCCCCCACTACACATGCTAATCATAAGGCCCCCTTTCTTCTTCCCCCCGTTATCCCCCTCCCTTCCCACCCATCCTCCCCAGTCCCTTTCCCTTTGGTACCTGCTAGTCCATTCTTGGGTTCTGTGATTCTGCTGCTGTTTTGTTCCTTCAGTTTTTCCTTTGTTCTTATACTCCACAGATGAGTGAAATCATTTGGTATTTGTCTTTCTCCACTTGGCTTATTTCACTGAGCATAATACCCTCTAGCTCCATCCATGTTGTTACAAATGGTAGGATTTGTCTTCTTCTTACGGCTGAATAATATTCCATTGTGTATATGTACCACATCTTCTTTATCCATTCATCTACTGATGGACACTTAGGTTGCTTCCATTTCTTGGCTATTGTAAATAGTGCAGCCATAAACATAGGGGTGCATCTGTCTTTTTCAAACTGGGCTGCTGCATTCTTAGGGTAAATTCCTAGAAGTGGAATTCCTGGGTCAAATGGTATTTCTATTTTGAGCATTTTGAGGAATCTCCATACTGCTTTCCACAATGGTTGAACTAATTTACATTCCCATCAGCAGTGTAGGAGGGTTCCCCTTTCTCCACAACCTTGCCAGCATTTGTTGTTGTTTGTCTTTTGGATGGTGGCTTAAAGCACATTTTATTATGAAAAATGTAAAAACATAGAGATGCAGACAAGTACAAAGAGCACCTTACATCTATCACCCAGCTGAAGCAATGACCAACACAGAGCCAGTCTTGCATACCTCTCCAAGTCTGTACACTCTGTGGCTCATGTAATCACCCATTTAAAAATTTTCGCTCTAAGTTCTGAACATACATCTCTCCCAGGCAGGCAGAAGCAGAGGGTGCGCCCAGCACGGGGGAGGAGGCCATGGGCGCACGGGTGTGGGTGCTGTTGCTGGCGCAGCGGCTGGCTCGGGTGGACCTTGGGGTGCAGGGTGAGCTCCGGCGGGGGCTGCAGCGGCCCGGGGGTGATGGGGCAGCGGGCGGGAGGGGGCGCATGCACCCCGAGGTGGCTCACTTCTCACCCCCTTGTGCTCCCTGCAGAGTTGCGGGATCAGGACAAGCTGGACACGTGCCTCCCTGCGGAGGCACCTGGGCGGGAGCGCAGAGGCTCCCCATCTTTTCCTGTCCCTGCTGCAGGTTTCGAGAACTCGTCGCTGCTCCTGTGTAAGGGGCAGGCGCCTGCGGACCACATGGGGAGAGTCCCCAGGTCACCTCCCTTGGTGGCTGGATGCCGGACGCGCAGTTCCCGGGAGCCCCTTCCTTATGCACACCTGGGCGGGTGAGGGTGGCAGGGCAGCCCCTGTGCTGCAGTTCAGCCACATGTCCGTCTATCCATCCCAGGGCCATGTGGCCAGCGGAGCATCCACTTGTGCATGGTGGGTGGAACAGACGTAGAGCTGGGGCGCTGGCCGGGGCAGGGCAGCCTGCGGGTATGGGGCTCCCACCACTGTGGAGCGAGCCTGCTCAACCGCCGCTGGGTGCTGTTGGCTGCGCACTGCTTCCAAAAGTGAGTCCTAGAGCGGGGTGGGTCTGCGGGGACCCGCACACGTGACATGCAGATGCGGTCCTCAGTTCTACTCAGCACCAGGCTGATCAGCAGCCGGTTACAGTCACACATATTCCGGTTCAGTTTCTTCCAGAACTTTAGTTCTTCCAGAACATTCAGAGGCACATTTGTGCATCTTGCCTTTTCTCTACTGCAGCACGGAGGGCCCCGTGCTCCTCCCACCTCCCCAGGGAGGTGGACCCGGGCTGGGAGGAGGTGGGGTGTGCCGGCCACAGTGGAAGCTGTTGTGACTCCGGAGCTTTGGCGCCTGTGCATCCGCTGGCTCTTTCTTAGGGCGGCTCTGTGGGGTGACAGGCTGGTTGAGTGACTGGCCAGATCAGACTGCAGGGGGAGCCCCCCCCCATTACCCGGGCTCTGGGCTTTGGGCTGTGGCCTCTCAGGCGGCCTGCCATGTCTACACTGGGTGCTCTGGCCGTGAGGAGCCCTGCGGTGGTATCTGGGAGGAGCCCTAGTAGCATCGGGCTGTCACCTCACAAAGTGGGCCCCAGGGGTGCTCAGGTGACCCACCCTCCTCTGAGGACCCCTCACTGCTCTCCTCTCCACCAGGCAAAGGAATCTCTCAAAGTGAACAGTTCAGTTTGGTGAGCTGTCTGCCTGGCCATCCATGTGGAACCTGCAGGCTTACTACAACCGCTACCAGGTGGAGATCGTGTTGAGCCCCATGTATGTGGGGGCTTCAGCCTACGACATCCCCCTGGTGAGGTGTTCTCCTCCATCACCTACAGTCCATACATCCAGCCCGTCTGTGTCCTGGCCTCCTCCTCCGAGTTTCAGAACCGGACCGACTGCTGGGTGACTGGCTGGGGAGACCTCCAAGAAGAACAGGGTGAGGCTGGGGACAGGCAGGTGGGGAAAAGGTGTTAACCCTTGGTCATCTGTCCCACAGCACCAGGGCCCTAGCCCCAACCTCGGTCCATGTGCAGCTGGGCCAACTCTGGGCCTGCTCCGTTCTCTCCTGGCCTGCTGTCCACTCTGGCTCCCTGGCAAAGGCAGGACTTCTGTCCACACTCAGTTACCCCTCCCTTCCAGAGACTGTGAGCCAGAAGCCAGAGTCCAGAGGGAGGCTAGCCGGGCCCAGCCTCAGCCTGCAGGGGTGCTGGGGTTGTGGGAGGGCTGTGTCAGAAAGGCCTCAGTGTGGTGCTCACCCGCCCCCAGTGCCACACTCTGGCTTTGCACGCCTGCACACAAGGCCTGCTCTTACAGTACTGAGCCCACTTCTCTCTCCCCGCAGTTCCAAGCTATCCTCCGCCCTGGTCTCCTCGCTCAGTGCCCAGGAGCTCTGGCCCCACAGACCCGTGTCCCAGTGCTGAGCCTGCCCTTGCTGGCTCCCTGGCCCGGCCCATCCCTGCACTGCCTTCACTGAAGTTCCATGCATGCACACTGTGTGTCTGGACTATTCTAGGCTCTGGAGACTCAGCAATGAGCAGGGATGGTCTCTCCTCCTTTAGGAGCTTACCTGCAAATGAGACCAGGAACGTTTTATACGTACTGTACAGTTGAGCCCTGGAGAGCAATGGCAATTGCCAGGGGCCCCAGAGGAGTACTGGAGAAGCCAGGACTCATCAGCCCAGAGAGGGTAGTGTGTCCCGAAGGTCACACATCTGGAATTGGTAGGGGGGATAGAGAAGTCAACACCAGGCCTGCCTCCCTCTGGAGTTGGGGGTCCTTTCCCTTTTTCTAGAAGGGCTGAGTTGGTCTGCGCCAGAGGCCCCGCCAGGCAGGCTCCCTCCCTCCCTGGTCCAAGGCTGACAGGTGGTTCTTCAGCCCCAGGCTCCACTCTCATCCCAGGTGGGAGGTGACCTCTGGACACACCCATTTTCCACCCTGTGTAAACCTTGACTCTGCCCTGTTCTAGCTGGGAGACTGTGGGCGAGGCACTTCCTCATCTAAAGCAGGCAATGATGGTTCCCACCTCATAGGGTAGTTCTGAGGTTTAAAAGCACCCATGCATGAGGGCCTAGCAGGGTGCCCAGCAGACAGGAGGCTGTATCTGCTTGTAGTGCTATTCTCTGCAGGACAGGGGGCGACTTGGGGCCAGACTCGGGAAGTGGACAGGTGTGGTCCACATCAGGCCCAGGGCAGGGACGGGCGACCTGCCCCGAATCTGCCCTTACCTGAAAGTGGGTCCTGACTGCGCCGCATCCTCAGCCAGCTGCAGGACCCCAGGAGCATATCATACAGAGCGGGGCTTGGGGTCCTGGGAGTGGGAAAGGGCCCGAGGACAGTGGCCCCTGGGCTTCTGCCTGCTCAAGCGCCTGGGGCGGTATCACTTCCAGACCATCTCATCTGTGTTAGCCCCTGTGCATGCCAAGGTCGGTCCCCACTGGCTCGGGCAGAGGCCGCCACCGGCATGCAGGGAAACTGACCAGGGAACCTCTGGTCCATCCCTCGGGTCCTTGGTGACATTGTTCCTCACCATGGTGTACGGGGTGCTGGGCTAGAGCAGAGCACCTGCCAGAGCCCCAGCCCCAGCACAAAGGGCATCCCATGAACACCACCCCCCTCCAGCAGCCTGTGCCACTCCCCTCGACCAGATGGCAGAGGAGAGGTTCAGGCATCCTCTCCTGAACCCATCTCCTCTGTCCCCTCAACCCCTCGGCAACGCTGCCTTCTCCCTACATCCTCCAGGCGGTGCAGGTTGGCATCATAAACACCACCATCTGTAACTACCGCTACACGCAGCCCGCCTTCCCCTATGACGTCTGGGGGGACATGGGCTGTGCTGGTGATACCGAGGGCTTCAAGGATGCCTGCTTTGTGAGTGTCCCTCCCCACCCCAGCCAGGGCCTCTGCACCCCTGACAACCACCTCCCCACACCCAAGCCTGATCCCTGCCTCTCCTTTGGTCTTGGATGCAGGGTGGAGGTGGGGGGCAGCACCCCATTTTGCAGGTACTGAAGAGGCATGCGCACTCCCGAGGGGAGGATTTGTACCCCATATGCCCAGCTGCTCAGCCCCTCCCGCCCTCCCGGCCTCCCTGTAACCCCTCCTGCCCTGCCCCGGGCCAGGCTCACCCATGCTGCTCCCCAGGGCAACTCGGGCGGACCCTGGTCTGGTTGAGGAACGGGCTGTGGTATCAGGTTGGAATCGTGAGCTGGGGAGTGGGCTGCGGCAGGCCCAACTGGCACGTGGTCTACACCAACATCAGCAGATACTTCAACTGGATCCGGATGCTGATGGTGCGCAGCGGCCTTCCCAGGCCAGAGCCCTGCCCACTGCTGCTGCTTGCCCTGCTCTGTGCCCCCCCAGTCCTGTAGCTGGCCGGAGCCCCACAGGGCCCCTGAGCATTGGCCCAGTGCCCCTGTGCCCCGTTTCTACTAAACCCTTTTGTGTGTTCATAGAAAAAAAGTGTTGTGTGTTGACACCTTGCAGAGCATTCTGTGGACCCAGGGGGCTCCCTGGGCACCCTCACAGTCACCCGTGCCCCCCCGGGGCCCACCCCTAAGGCTCTTGGTCCCACCTGCACTGCACAGCAGACAGCACAGCCCACTCTGGTTCGTTTACTCAGAGGTATCAGGTTGGAATCGTGAGCTGGGGAGTGGGCTGCGGCAGGCCCAACTGGCACGTGGTCTACACCAACATCAGCAGATACTTCAACTGGATCCGGATGCTGATGGTGCGCAGCGGCCTTCCCAGGCCAGAGCCCTGCCCACTGCTGCTGCTTGCCCTGCTCTGTGCCCCCCCAGTCCTGTAGCTGGCCGGAGCCCCACAGGGCCCCTGAGCATTGGCCCAGTGCCCCTGTGCCCCGTTTCTACTAAACCCTTTTGTGTGTTCATAGAAAAAAAGTGTTGTGTGTTGACACCTTGCAGAGCATTCTGTGGACCCAGGGGGCTCCCTGGGCACCCTCACAGTCACCCGTGCCCCCCCGGGGCCCACCCCTAAGGCTCTTGGTCCCACCTGCACCACACAGCAGACAGCACAGCCCACTCTGGTTCGTTTACTCAGGAAGGTGATGTGTGGAAGGGCGTTAGCAGCACCAGGGTCCTGGGGAGGAGGTGGCCCCGACCCCCACACGCCAGCCAGCACCCCCATCACTCAGATGCTGCCGTTCGGGCCTCACCACGGTCTCCCAAAGGCCAGCCTGGCACCAGGACCGGGGTGGTTTATCTGGGAGGTGATACCAAGCAGCCCAGAGAGGAGGCAGGGAGGAAGGAAACCCGATGCCGTTTGCCCGACGCAGAGGTTAATGGGTGGGCAGCTGTGGCGCAGTCCTGCCCTCTGAGCCCCCTGAGGCCACGGGCATGCACTGCCACACAGGCTTCTGAGGACAAGGGCGCTGGGCACGGGCTTTCCTCCCTGCCCCCCATGGTTGAGGGCTGTCCCGGGAGCATGGGTGCCCAAGCTGGAGCAGGCCCCCTGTGGAGGCTGCGGTGCTGCGGCCCCTGGCTGGAGGGCACAGCCTCCGCGCGTCTGGCCCTGCACTGGGTCCTGGATCCCGGCCTCAGCATGGCCCAGGGACCAGGCTGGCAGGGCAGACATGGCCCTGGAGCCAGTTGGGCAGCCCTGCGTTTCCCCAAGACCCCCAGGTGCTGGGAGCACAAGGAGTGAGGGTCTTGGGTCTCTTGGAGTCCTCCTGCCGCCCCCCAGGGGTGGCGAGGTGTAGGGCAGTCCTGGGGTGCCCCTCACCTCTGCCCCACCTCTGATGGCCTCACAGGTTTGTACAGCCCCACACGTGGGCCTTGTGCCCTACCGCAGCGCCCTGGGGCTGGAACTTCTATTCTCCCTGGTCACAATGAGGAAACCCAGGCTTACAAGGTGATAGGACTGCCTGAGCCACCCACTCCCAAGGGCCCATGTCCATCTCACTGCCCGTGGACTTATCTAGGCTGGACTGGGAGCGGCCAGCAGATTCCCAGGGGTAGGGTCTGCACTCGACTCTAGCTCCCATCCCCCCAGGAGCTGAAACCTGAGGGCGGCCCCATCTAGCCTCCCCTAAAGGCCCTTTTGGTTGACCCTGAGCAGAGCCCTCCCTGCCCTGGGTCTCATGTTGCTGGAGGTGGTGCTGTTGAATGCTGGTCACCCCAGACCTGCCACATGCAGCGCTGCCCTGCCATACTGCCTGCCAGGGTTGGCCTGTCCTCCTCCAGCAGCAGGCAGTGGCCTCTGGTGGCTCAGAGCCTGGGTGGTGGGCTCCTGCCTCTGGTCAAGCAAGGAGTGGTGCCAGCTTCAAGCCATCTGTTCCCCATCGGGAATTGTGTCCACCTGCAAGCCAGTGTGCTCCAACAGACCTAGGGGCTGGTCTTCCCGTGGGGCTGGCCAAGCAGAATTTCTGGACAAACAATAGGGCTCCTAGGCCCTGGCCACCAGCACTACAAGGAGCCGGGGTCAGAGGTGAGCTGCCAAGGGTCCACCAGAGCCTCCCAGCCTGCCCGGGGCCCTCCCCTCCCTGCAGTGCCCGGCTGGGCCTAGGCGCCCCCCTCTCAGCTCTCAGCACTGTGGCTCAAGCCGGGCCAGAAACTCCGGTGTCCCTTTCCTGCCACCTCGGAAGCGCTGCTCAAAGCATCTTTGTTCCAGGCTGGACTAGTGGAGCCGCAGCCCCTCCCTGGCCCTTGATTACCCCCTGGCCAGGCCCCCGCCCCTCCTGGCCCTGTAAGTGCCCAGGTCCTCCCTAGCCCAGTCAGCAGGGAAGGAGCCTGCCGTGAGGGTGACCGCAGGGTGCAGGGACTACCAGGGCAATGAAAACAGCTTGGGAAGGACACGCTGGGTTCCAGGGCGGCCAAATCTTGCAGGAGTTGAGGCGCAGGGATGGTCCCCAGAGCCTGGGCCACGGGGACAGGTCCAGGACCAACCAGGGGCTGAGGGAGACAGAAGGGTCTCGGGGCGCTGGCCCAGGACCCTGCTCTCTTTCCCCCTGCAGGCTCCCTCCGAAGCGCAAGCCTCCGCGGGGCCACCCTTACCCAGCCTGGCCCTGAAGACAGAATGAGGGGGATTTTCTGCCTCCAGGTCCTGCTCTTCCTACTGCTTCTGGGTGAGTGGGGACAGGGGCTGGGGTGCTGACCAGAGACCCCGGCTCCCAGGTGGCCTGCCCCCCCGCGAGCACTCCAGGGTAAAGCCTGGTAAAGCTGAGAGGCCAACCATTCATCCATATGTCCATCCAGGGGTCTCACACTTCCTTCCCCACCTTCCCACTCATATTTACCCTTCTCCACTCTGCCAGGGCTAGGCCTGGGCACCCGGAGACGGGCGAGCGAGCTAGTGCCCCATCTGGCCTGTGTGCCCCTCTTTTTCTGGAGGAGGTCAGGGAAATCTGAAATGTGGGAGGGACTCAATGCCAAGAAGACGAGTCCGTTGCTGGCTTGGGGCGGGGGAGCAGCACATGGCGTCTCAATCTTGGCTCCAAGGGTTCGGGTCCTCTCGGTCACTCCAGGCCCAGCTGTGCCCCTCTGTGAAAGGGGTCACCTCACAGTCCTCTGGGGCGGGTGGGTGAAACCCTGTAAGCCACTGCATAAAAGCTTGGCACCAGGTCAGTGTGACAAATACGTTTCACCCTCCTTCCTGATCTCTGATCCCCTTTTCCCTCACCCTGTTATCTGACACCGAGTCCGTGACCCGGTCCCTCCGCTGCTCCCTCCTCCAGGTGCTGCTGGGACACTGGAGTCTGCAGGTAAGGAAGCCCCCGCCCGTCCCGGGCCTGGCGCCCAGCCTCCCGTGGCCTGGGCCCTGTGTCTCCCGGCCCTGCCCACCAGGCGCCCAGGCCTCCGCCCGCCTGTCTTCTCGCAGCCTGCGGGCAGCCGCTCTTGTCGAGTAGGATCATCGGCGGCCAGGATGCCCAGGACGGAGAGTGGCCGTGGCAGGCGAGCGTCCAGCACCGCGGGGCGCACGTGTGCGGGGGCTCGCTCCTCGCCCCGCGGTGGGTGCTGACGGCGGCGCACTGCTTCCCCAGGTCAGCTGGCCGCCGCCATCTCGGCGCGGGCGCTCCCTGCCCCCGGGGCCCCGACGGGGTGTGGGGGAGAGCAGGGCCAGGGGACGGGGCGCTGCGGGGTGGAGAAAGGCCGCCGTAAGGAGCCCGTCTCGCAGGCGGGCGCTGCCGTTCGAGTACCGCGTGCGCCTAGGCGCGCTGCGCCTGGGGCCCGCCTGGCCCCGCGCGCTCTCGGCGCGCGTGCGGAGGGTGCTGCTGGCCCCCGACTACTCCGAGGACGAGGCCCGCGGCGACCTGGCGCTGCTGCAGCTGCGCCGCCCGGTGCCCCTGGGCGCCCGAGTCCAGCCCGTCTGCCTCCCGGAGCCCGGCGCCCGCCCTCCACGCGGCGCGCCCTGTTGGGTCACTGGCTGGGGCAGCCTCCGCCCAGGAGGTGAGACAGAGGGCGGGCACGGGGACCCCGGGGGAGGGGCGGGAGATCTGAGGAATCTCAGTATCCCGCTGCCCAATCTGGGACCTAAACCTCCCAATCGGACCCGGGGATCCCGGCGGCAGGTCCGACTCAGGTCGGTCTTCTCCCCGCAAGCCCCACTTCTGGCCTTGGCCTCTCCCAGCTCTCAGAAGGCCCCCTTCTTCACCCAGTGCCACTCCCAGAGTGGCGACCTCTGCAGGGAGTAAGGGTGCCGCTGCTGGACCCGCGCACCTGTGACCGCCTCTACCACATGGGTACCGACGTGCCGCGCAGCGAACACATAGTGCAGCCAGGGAATTTGTGCGCAGGCTACCCTGAGGGCCACAAGGATGCCTGCCAGGTGTGCAAAGCTCCTGGAACCCCCAGAGTTCACACTTACATGCCCACCACCTACTCCCTAACACCCAGGACCCACAAAGTGCCACCTCGAGGCTCCGCATCCTGGCTCCCAGCCCAGAGGCACCCGGTGGGCACTGTAGCCCCAGAGCTGCCATCTGAAATCCCTGGAAGCTGGGACCTAAGCTTGCCGTTCTCCTGCAGGGTGACTCTGGGGGACCCCTGACCTGTGTGATGTCCGGGCGTTGGGTCCTGGTGGGCGTGGTGAGCTGGGGCAAGGGCTGTGCCCTGCCCAACCGTCCAGGCGTCTATACCAACGTGGCCACTTACAGCCCCTGGATTCAGGCTCGCCTCACCCTTTGATGCAGTGACACTGACCTGGAGCCAGATCCTGGGGTCCCTCAGCTGCTGGGTTCCTCTGGGGACCTGCATATCCTATCCCCAGCCCTGCCCTGCCCCTCTGCCCTGAGCCTCAAAAGCCTGGTAAAGCTGAGAGGCCAACCATTCATCCATATGTCCATCCAGGGGTCTCACACTTCCTTCCCCACCTTCCCACTCATATTTACCCTTCTCCACTCTGCCAGGGCTAGGCCTGGGCACCCGGAGACGGGCGAGCGAGCTAGTGCCCCATCTGGCCTGTGTGCCCCTCTTTTTCTGGAGGAGGTCAGGGAAATCTGAAATGTGGGAGGGACTCAATGCCAAGAAGACGAGTCCGTTGCTGGCTTGGGGCGGGGGAGCAGCACATGGCGTGGAGCTGTGAGCCGCCTCTGGACACCGAGGGCAGCTCCCAGGCACAGCCCGCAGGGAGGCAGACCGCCAGCCGCTGCAGCAAGGAACCAAACCCCACCAACACCCCGAAGGGCTGGGAAGCAAGTTCTCCCCTCAGCCTCCAGATGAGAGCCCCATCACACCAACACCCTAAGCAGAAACCAGTTGAGCTACCCAGATTTCTGGCCCTCAGAGCTGCAATTTAATACATTTGTGTTGTTTTAAGCTGCTATGTGCATAGTCGTTTGTTACATAGCAATAGAATCAGAAACCTACTATAGATTTTGCTCCACTGTGATGGAGGTGCCCTGGGGGGTGGGGAGGGCCTTCCCAAGTACTCTAAGAGGCTCAGGACTCCAGGGCACCTGAAATCATGCCCTCTGTCCAGAAGGGCCAGAAGCCCCAGGCATGACTAGCTAGAGCTTCTGCTGCGCTTGTTTCTGTCCTTAACCCCATGCCCACCCAGGAGGGGTCTGGGCTATGTCCTAGCCTTGGCCAGGGCCCCTCCCGCCCACCTGCATCCGGAGGCCAGCCTAGGCCCTTCGCAGCCGTCTGCCTGCCCTTGAATGCCTGGCACCTGGTGTCCCATCCCCTCCCTGCCATCTCCTCGGCCCCAGGCCAAGGACCCCCATCCCAGTAGATATAGCTCAGTTTGCAGAACTGCAGAAGGAACAAGAAGCCAAACAAAACTTAGAAAATCCAAAATCTAATCTTCGGAGCTGATGGCAGGGGGGTGGGGAGGTGGGGGAGCAGGTCATGGTGGGAGGTGCAGGGAGCAGAGCAGGCCTGAGCGTAGCTGCCCCCAGACAGGCTGAGCCTCGTCTCCTCCCTTCTTTTCTCCCAGGGTAGAAGGTGGCTACACTGGGTGGTCGCTGCTGAGCGAAGCCAGGCGGGCAGGGCTGGTCCGTGGATGGCAGCAAGGGCGCTCCAGGCCACTTACCCCCCAGGCTGAGGGCTGTTGTCTGGAGCAGAGCTTTGCTGGCCCTGGGGTTCACTGGGGACTGGGGTGCCCTGGACAGGGCATGGCTGTGGCAGGCCAGCCTGCAAAAAGCTGTGGGACCCTGGTGGCCTCTGCTGGGTGATGCCGGCCATCCTCCCGCCCTCCCTCAGCCTAGTGCCAGCCAAGAGACCTTCCCCAGGGTGCCTCCCAAGGCACTGAGACCAGGGCAAGCCAGGGGCTGTGAGCCTGGCTGCCTCTGCCTCTGACCTGCTGTGATCTGAGGAATGGGTCCTCACCCAGAGAGCCCAGTGTTTGTGAAGTGTAACCTGGGAGCTTAGCGGGGCATCCCAGGAGTGGGAGGGGCAGGAGTCGGCAGGGCGGGAGAGGCCAGTGACTGGGTTCAGCCCTTAGGAGACGCTGCGTGGGGGCTTTACTCACCACCCTGGGGTTCTCACCTGACAGCCTGAGAGAATGGAGTCACACCCAGGCGGCCCGCGAGGAATGCAGAGGCCAGCAGCCCTCGGCTCCCTCCTCCTCCCAACAGGTCGCTTCCCGGCCCTCATTTTTCTGGAGGTGGCAGCTCTTTCCCGCCAGGCAGGCTCGGCGGTGCCCTACCCTGTGTGCTGCATCCCATCTGCCAGCAAGGTCAGGGGGGATGATCAGCCACCTCCTGCCCCTGACCGCGCCACGGCAGGCTGACCTCTGACCTGCCTGGAGACTGTGCCGCTGGGAGAGGAGCACCGGGGCCCGCGCGGGGGAGGCAGCAGGGGCCGGTGCTGGGAATGAGCACAGGGAGCACTGAGCTCCTGCTCAGGGTGGGTATCTCCCTGCTGCCCGCCCGCCCTGGGTGGTGGTGCTGCAGGCAGGTGGCCCGGCCTCTCCCAAGGATTCTCCCTGGGATTCCCCGTCTGCGATCCACGGCTCTTCCAGGCCTGGGCTTGCTCTCTGCTGATCTCAGAACGCCTGTGAGGTCTTCTTATATCCCATTGCAGGGATGGGGAAACAGCCCTGAGAGATTGGGTGACATGGCCTGAGGCCCACAGCGACTAAGAGGTGGAGCCTGACTTGAACTGGAGCAACTGACTCTAACCCCACCAGCAGGTCCCTTCCCTTATGGATGAGAGTGGTTGTAAAACACTACAAATAAGAGGCACACGAATAACTAGTGGTCATTGGATAATTACTATTTATTAACCAGTGCCCCCTAAAATAAAGAAGGCAGGTGAGCAGGGCCCACAAGGCTAAGACCCTATAGGCTTAGCTGGGAGGCTGGGGAGGGGACCCTGCAGTGAGCGTGGTTGGGGCAAGAGGGGCGCAAAGGGCCCAGGAGGCCTCCCTGGGCAGAGAAGAGTAGCCTGCCAGCCAGCTTGTCCACCACCTTGAGACTCCCATTCTGTGTGAGGTTATCAAATTTTATTGGAAAACAAAAAAACTGAGAGCTTTATTGCAGAAAAGCAGTTTGCAACCCAGGAGACACAGCCTTTGTCTATGAACCAAAACCACACTCCAGGTAAACAAAGAAGTTATTTTTATAGAAAAAAGTACCTCCAACCAAAAAAAAAAAAAAGACTAAAAAATAAAAAAGTTCCTGCCCAGGTGCCCATTGGTCTATGTAAATACTGGATGCAAGCTTCTTCAGTCTTGACTGGCTGATGCCACAGCTGACTGGGTGATTTCCCAGCCCTTGCCGGGCAGCAGTAGCAGGAAGGTAACAGGAACCAGTTCAGCTTCAGAGAGCAGATGTGCCTGTGATTTTTCCAAGGACACAGAATAACGCCATGGCTTCCTGTTGAGACATGGCCATCCAACCCCGTTTTGTTTTGGGCTTCAGCCTGATGGAACACATCTTGTTTTCTGGCATCACTGGATTTGTGGGGAGGACAACTCACTTGACTGTTCATATTTTCACAGTGATAGCCCCCAGGAAGGAAGACCTGCACCCAATGAGAACCCAGCCCAACCCCCACTCCCGAGTCCATTCCCAACTACAGAGGGTGTCCACTACACCTAATGACACGGTGGTCTGCCATCACCTCCTCCACCACCCTGTCCACTTGATAGTGGACAGCACCATGAGATGTGCAGTCAGGTAGGCCCCCATCCTACTCACCACCTCCCCCAAGTTGGGTGGCCTCAGACAGCAGAGACAGCCTTAATCTGTCACCAGTTGTTACCTAAACCTTGGCTCTATGCCCTGTACACATTAGTTCACCGATGCTCCCAAATGTCCTGTGGGGCCCAATTGTGCATTCCCCTTGTTGGATGGAAAGACAAGCAGGGGCTCAGCGCCTTGTCCAAGATCCCAGCTAATAACCTGGGTGAACCCAAGGGATTTCTGGAGCACAGATGGGGACAGGCATGACCTTCAGAGGGAAGGGACAGGGGCTGAGGGGGCTGCCCCACTCCCCAATCTCCCAGGGTGACTCCTTGTGAGCATCCCGACCTGGAGCAGCCCAAACAACCCAGCCCGAGGTCTATATGCTGGTCTCCAATCGATCCCAGATCCAGGACCATGTGCCACAGCTGCGGCTGGCCAGAACATCATGGGCGGAAAGGCCACCTCTCCTTCAGGACACCCCTGAACTCCATCTTCACCTGCCACATTCTGGGAGGTCTGCTGGCTGCCTCTGAGAACCTCTTGGTCACTGTCCACCCTCCCCTTCCTCTCTCTCATCAGAAACAGAGGATCTAAATCCTCTGACTCCCCCTGTACAAAGATACTGAGATTAAGGAAATCTTCAGCCTAGGCCAAGGACTTGCCCCACCGGTTATGTGTTCCCTGTCTCCTGGCTCACACCTGCCCAGGCTCAGAGTGAGAAGAGTCACAGGAGGGGAGGGGACTTCGAGGGCTCCTGAGGAGCCAGAAGCTAGAAGTAAAAGATAACAATAACTATGGTTACAGTTTAGGAAACGTCTATTGAGTGCTGACTCTTGGTGAGGACCTACAAACGTTACCAACTCTGGTCTGAGCCCAGAGCTGTTCAGCACCAGCTTGAATCAGAGCCAAAGCAGCAGCATCTTCAGATTCTGCCCATCCTCAGGAATTCTCAAATTGCAGCCCCAACGACTGCAGAGCTGGCTGGCGTCCAGGGTCATCCACTGGCTCTGCAGGTGCCACGGCAAGCCTTCTCTGACACTTACCAGTGACCGAGCTGAGGCTCCCCATCTCCTGGGCAGTGCTTAAGTGACAGAAAAGTCTCCTTCCCTTGCTCTAGTGAAACTGCAATTTGGGGCGACTCAGGGCAGTGTCCAAAGCCCATGGAGGACCTAGGCTGTCGATAGGGATGCCCCGTAGTTAAGGCGGCCAACCGGGGAAATCAAGTCTACAGGCTCATCCGGAATGCAAGCGGACCCATGCAGGGAGGCTGGCTGGTGCCCGAGGGTCCTGGGCCGGGCGCTCCCCTCTCCTCCCCCCGGGAAGCACCAACTTCGGCCATGCCTGCTGATTCTTCCCGGAGAGTTCACCCGGCCAATCCCTAACCGCAGCAGCAGCCCCCGGGCTCGAAAGGCCAGAAGGCCGCTCTGAACATGTAAACAATCTTGGCACCTAAGGACAGGGCGGGGATATGGGGACCGTCCGGCCTCGCCGGAAGACACAGGATTTACAACCTTCTCAAAATGGCCGTCAGGGAGCCCCGCAATGAATCAGACCCCCCACCCCGATGTGGCAGCCCAGATCTCAATGTCTTGCCGCCCTGATGACCAAAACGCACCGGATCCATCCACTTTCGCTGGGATGTGTGAATGTCTTACACTCGCGAGACTCGCCCCCGACATCTCCCAAAAAGCTGATCTGCGCCCAGGCCTTCCCCTGACTGCATCAAATGGGGATCACGCTTCTGCCACTCCCAAGATGGCGCCATCGCCCCACGCTGGGTCTCTGTCCTACTCCCACCATCTCGGCCGCCCTGCCAACCGGCACTCCTCAGCAGCGTGGCGCCGAGATGGCGGCCGAACGCCCGGTTCGAGCAACTCGCTCGCGGAGCGCTTGAAATGGCGGCGGCAGGGAGGGGGCGGGGGCGGGGCCGCTAGCCGCGGGGCACGCTGGGACCGGCGCGCGGGCTGCCGGGAACGGGGCGGAGCGCGGCCGCGCCGGCGCGTCTAGGGGAGAGGCAACCGCCGCGATGGTGAGCGGGCGCGGGGGGAGGGGCGGCCGGCCGGGGCCGGGGCCGGGGCCGGGGGCGGCGGGGGCGGCGGGCCGCGCGGGGGGCCGGTGCTCGGCGCTCACGCCGGCCCGCCGTCCCCAGGACGTGTTCCTCATGATCCGGCGCCACAAGACCACCATCTTCACGGACGCCAAGGAGTCGAGCACCGTGTTCGAGCTGAAGCGCATCGTCGAGGGCATCCTCAAGCGGCCGCCCGACGAGCAGCGGCTGTACAAGGTGCGGCCCCCGGTGCCGGGCGTGCCGGTGCTGCCCGGAACCGCCGACCCGAGCCCAGCGGTGGGCGTACAGCGGCCGCTTAGTTGATGTAAACAGCGCCGGAACCCCCCGCGTGAGGCGGTTGTCGGGGCCCGGGGGTGCGTGCGCTGCCCGGCCGGCCGCGCGTGGGACGCAACGGCGGTCTTGCCCGCGGCGTCCAGTCTCTTGATAGCCCTGCTGTGCAGTTAGGGAAACTGAGGCTCGGCGAGGGGGCCACTCAACCAGCCCAAGGTCATTGGCAGAGCCAGGATTTGAACCCCGATGCCCATGATCCTCTGCAGGCCCATCAGAATCCTTAATACACAGAAGTGGAGGGTGTGGAGATGAGTCAGGTCCCACCATTTCTTCCCCCAATAACTGTTTATTACGTCCAGTCTCCTGCTGATTCCCCGTTTTTCACCCTAGGCACCAACTGCAGTTATTCAGCAAGAATGGCTAGGGACTGGGGGTTTTCATTGAGGAATCCAGTGTGTTGTGGGGTCCCTGGTTCAAGTCTACTGCAGCAGGAGGGCCCTTACTAGGTGCACTGATCTGATTCTGGCTGGAAACTGGGAAACTAATCTTTTGCTCCAGGCTGAGCCCCCACTCCCTTCATAAAGGCCTTTCCTCCCTGATGCTGGAGTTTCCCGGATGAGGACCCTTCCTGCTGCCTGTGCTTATTCGCACGCTGTCCTGGTTGCTTTCTGTGCCCCCTTCACTCAGTGACACCTCCAGGCTGCCTTTTTAGTTGGGAGTCCCAGTAAACCCCATTTTGCCGATAAGCAAACTTCCCTTAAAAAAGAATAACCATTTTGTCCAAGGTGGAAGAGCTAGGATTCAAATCAGGTCTGCCTGTGGCCAAACTGGGTCACCGGCCCTTGAAACTAGATTCACCTGGAGACTAGGTAAAAAAAGAGTTCGAAAGCCCTACTTGGGAGGTTCATATCTGGAAAGTCTTGGGGGTGGCCCTGGAAGCCGGTGCGCTCTGGGATGGTCCTGGGCGCTACCTGGGACTCTCTCCCTTCCGTCTTCCAACTTCCACTGTAGTTGCTGACCAGAGAAATCTTTGGGATTTGCCCCTCCTGGGACCTCTCCGAAGACCATGTCTGTCTCTCTCCTCAGGACGATCAGCTTCTGGACGACGGCAAGACACTGGGCGAGTGTGGTTTCACCAGTCAGACCGCGCGGCCGCAGGCCCCAGCCACCGTGGGGCTTGCCTTCCGGGCAGGTGAGGGGCAGCCAGGCAGGGTGGAAACAGCCAGAGAAAGGGGTCATCAGGGAGCCTGCAGTTGTTCCTCCCGGCCTCCAGCACAATGTCTTCCCTGTCCACAAAGTGCAGGCGATGTCATGTGACAGTGTATTTGTTTCCTCATTAAAAAAGAAAACAAGATGCTTGTAGAAACTGAAGCCTGTTTCATGAAGGATTCCAAGATCGCTAGTCATGATACCATCTTAAGTAGGCTTCCTGAGTACCTGGCTGTGTGCTGTTTTATTGCCGTTGTCCCATCTAATCCTCACGATAGCTCTGGTAGGTGAGGACTCCCTGCTGTCTCCATTTTGGAGACATAGAAACTGGGACTTGACAGCAGTCAAGTAGGGAGCCATGGTTCCGATGCAGGCTGCCAGAACCTTGCCTGAGCTGGGCACCATAACTGGGCACTGTCTGCAGTGCATCACCCAGTGTTGCTGTGCAGGCCAGACTTGTGCCCATTTAAAGGATGAGTAGACTGAGTCTGGAGGTCGGGTCATTTGCTGGGACTACCAGATCCAGAATTCAGATCTAGCCCTGCCTGCTCCAGAGCCTGAACTCCCTTCAACCACTGCTGCCCTGAACAGTTTAGAAACCTGAGGGGTGGGAGTGGCTGGCTTCTCTCCAGTGTACCTCCTTCCCCTCCAAAGATTTAAGTTTTATCTCTGGAAACTTAAACAGGGGATGTAGGGTGTTTTCATAGCTGTGGACCCAGGGGCTGTGTGAATGGGTCAATGTGGATGAAGTTACAATGAATTATTTTTCTGGCTTCTTGTAAGAAAATGTTAGCAAGGGCTGAGGGAGAAGCAGTCTTAGCACACTTTTCAGTTTCATAAGGAAATCTGTGCCAGGCCTTGGTAGCTGTGTCCTTGGGTGGCTACTTCACACTTCCCTGGCCCTCCAGGACCCGAGTCCCCATCTCCATAAAGGGGTGTGATACTAGGGCCGGCCTGGGAGGCAGCGCGAGCTCCCAGGCACACCAGGCCCTGGCCTGAGCGCTCAGCAGTCAGACCCTAGGGGCCTTTCTGTGGGTTCCTCTGCCCCTCCCGGTGATGCTGAGGCAGGGGCCGGGCTGCCAGACTTTGTACAGGTCATGCCCTGTGCAGGACTGTCCTCTTTGGTGGTTGGTGGTGGTCGGGAGGTGGGCAGAAGGCTGAAAGTTCTGCTTCCTAAGCCAAGGCCAGGCTGCCTTCTCTTGGAGGAAGTCTTTTTTCTAATTTGAACAAAGGCACCCTACCCCATAGGCTTGTAGCAACTCTGAGAAGGTATTGATAGACCTACTTTACAGATGAAAAAAATCACAGCACAGGAAGGTGATTTCTTTCCCTGTGACCCCCCAGTTACAGCATTGAACGTGGCAGTGAGTGTGGACCCTGAGTTGTCATCACCCCTCAGGCAGGGGATTGCTCCTTAGGGAGCCTCTGTGCAGACTGAGGACTGGCTGTTTTTTGCTTTCCCCACTGGCTTTCACTTGCAAAAATGCCTTTCTGGGTGGGAAGCTGTTTCCTTGTGTAGCTCACAGCAGGACAAAGCCCTTCTCTGGCCTGGAAACTGGCTGACTGGCTGCTTGGTTAGGAAGACAATAGTATCAACTCACTGGTTAAATGGCACTGTCCAGACTATTTCTAAAGAATGTTAGAGGTGAAGACAAGAAATGTCACTGCGGAGTTGAGGCTTTGAAGAATCACCAAGCAGGGCCAGGTGTCTGCCTCAGCACTGTTGGCATCTGGGTCTAGTTGACTGTGGCACTGTCCTGGGCACTGTAGAATGTTGAGCAGCATCTCTGGCCACCACCAGGCCTACCTACTGGGCCAGGTGAAGGGAGTTATTTCCTAGGTGGGTAAAACTACAGGAGAAAAGTTCATGTGCTCCGAGGTGGCAGCAGGAACAAAACAGAGAAGGCCTCTCGGGAGCCACTGTTCTAGTGTGGACAGCAGCTGGACAGATGGGCCTTCTCAGGGGCATTGGGATGCAGTGATTGTTTACAGAGTGGTTGGGGAAGGCTTCTGTGAGGAGGTGCTGTTTGAGTGGAGCCCTAAAGGCCCAGAAGCAGCCAGCCATTCTGGGTGGCAAGCTGGGACCAGTAAATGCAAAGGCTCTGAGGCACTAAAAGAGAACAGGGGGAACCCGAGGGCACATGTGGAGAGAGAATGGCATAGATCTGAGGTTTTATTCAGTGTGATGGGAAGCTGGGAAAATATAGTGCAGGAGGAATCGCCTGGATTAACATTAAAAATCACCATTTGGTAGAGAGGACTGGAACAAGGATATGGGGAAGACCAGGTGAGGGGAGATAGAAGAGGATGCAGGCCAGCCCATGGGCTCACTGACATTTGCACAGGGTGAGAAGAGCCCAGGATGGCCAGACTTGGGGATGGAGGGGGCAGGATCCAGTGGGGCCACTGGGTCCTGGCAGTGGGGTGTGGAGAAATCAGGGTTACAGAGGAGATTTGGGGGGCAGGTATGTGCTCAGAGGTCCTCATAAGCTAGAGGTGGCCACCCCCTCCATCTCTCCCCACTCCTCTGTCCACCAGATGAGGCGTTTGAGGCCCTGCGCATTGAGCCCTTCTCCAGCCCACCGGAGCTGCCTGACGTGATGAAGCCTCAGGACTCAGGAAGCAGTGCCAACGAACAAGCAGTGCAGTGAGGCGGCCCCAGGCCAACCCCTAGTGCCCCATTCCCCCAATAAATGAGATTTGGTTGTCCACCTGGTTGCTGCCTTTCTGCACACCTTAACGTGGCCATCACCCCCACTGGAATGGGGCGCCCTCACCAAGGCTCCTCCTTAGCCCCTTGCTCGCCGGGCCACCTTCTCAGCCTGTCCAGCCTGGACAGGAGGTTTGAGGTCTTGTTCCTTCGAAGCGCACCCGTCCCAGGCACCTCCTGACATGCTCAAGGGCTTCTCCACCGAGAGGCACACGTAAGCTGGAGCCTGTGTGTGGGCTTGAGAGCAGGCTCTGTTACGGAGGGTGGAGGGGGAAACCAAAGCGCAGGGCCACCCCGTGCAGGTCCCCCCAGGGTGCACTCAGGGTAGAAGAGCTACTCTCCCCACACCCAATAACCAGACTGTAGACCCAATTCCTGCATTTCTCATTTTTATTTGACAGAAAAAGTTGCTCTTGCTGTACAGATTTTTTAAAAAAACCAAAATGCCTTTAAGAAATGTGAAGAAAAGTTGGGGGGAAGGGGCCACAACCTCACTGCGGGGACAGTAGGGGCTAACTAGTAACTCCTGCCCTTCCTTCCATTAACACTTCACACAGGTTCCCAAGTCCCAAACCATCACTGCCCCCAGGAACTCAAGCCTCAGTAAATGGGGGATGGTACCTCCCAGGCCTTTTCTGACTCAAGACTTGGGGCATCCCAAACTATCCTCCCCTCCCATAACTCCCATTCTCATTCCCCCCGCCCCAAACCCCCCAAAACATGTGAACCAGAAAAAACTCACAGATTAACATTTCACAAGAACAAAGGAAAACAAAAAGAAAGAAGGGAGCCCTCCCCTAAAATGCTGCCAGGGTTCAAAGGGAGGCAGACAAGGATTCCTCCCACGGCTCTGCTGGGGAGAAAGGGGCACTCCCTGGTGGCTCCAGAACTTGGGGTATGGTGTTCCCCCAAAAAATGTTCACGGAGACCTGCAACAGAGAGAGACAGCCATCAGTGCAGACGCCTCGGCCAACCTGGGGCTCCTGGAGGGGGGCCGACACTGGGGTGCCAGCAACGCACCTGGAGGAGCGGTGCCGCGCTGGGTGGGGGCTAGGAGTCTCCCTCCTGCGCTTGTGGCCTGGGGAGCGACTGTCCCCACGTTGGCCTCTCCGGGAACCCCGCTCGCTGCTGCTGCAAAAACAGGACAGACATCAGACCACACACCTGGCAATGCCAACAACGTCTAGCACCTGTGAGCCTCAAAACTTCTCTTCCCAAAAGTTGGTAGTGGCCAGACCCAGCTGGCTACTGTTAGGAGGCAAGAATTCACCCCCAGCCCTACCTCTGCTGGTCTCGGGGAGAGGGCTGGGGTGAGGGGTGGCGGCGTTCTGCAGGCGAGTAGCTGAGGGAACGGGAGTCCCGGAGGGAGTCTATTGGCTTCCGGGGACTGCGGGACCTGGGGAGCAGAGTAGGTCCCCATAGCACCTCACTCTTCCAAACCCACCAGCCAGCACTCAGGACCACCCCCCAGGTCCTGACCACCAAACCTCACACCACACAGGGCCAGCCTCAGACCCACCTTTGTGTGCTCACTCACCCATCCGCCCGCGCACCATCCACTGAGTGCCCCAATGGGCAAGGCACGAGGTGCAGCGGGGGACGCAAAGATATACAGTCCCTGCCCTTGGAGGGGCTGTCTGGTGGTGGAGGCAGGCCAAGGGAGGCTCACTCAGCCCCATGTGTGGGAAAGCCCCACAGAGACCGATGTACATAGGGTCTGGGGGCCCAGAGGAGGGAGACACGGGGCAGGGAAGGGGCAGGGGAGTCTTCGCGAAGGTGCTGTTTGAGCGGAGTCTTGCAGAACGAGGAGTTCACCAGGCGGACAAGGGAATTCCAGGCAGAAGGAACAGCATGTCCAAAGGCATGGGGTTCTCCTTAGACTGCAAGGCGCCAGGTGTGGCTGGAGCACAGGGCATGTGTGGGGGCGGGCAGGAGAGGAGAACACAGGGCAGGCAAGGCCAGTTGGTGAAGAGCCTCACACGCCATTCCCGCAGAGGTGGGGCTTTATCCTGCAGGCCACAGGGCGTCCCGGAAGGATTGTGGAGTGGAGGGAAGTAACCAGATGTGCGTTTTAGAAAGATCCCTCTGGCTACGTGTGGAAGAGAATGGCGTGGAGGCAGGGAGACAGGGAAGAGGCTGTGGACAGAGTCGGGAGAAGATGATGGTGGCCAGACCAGAGCCCTGGCTGTAGCAATGGGGAAACTTCTGGGCTGGAATTCCTGGGCCCTGGGACCAGGCTGCATGTCAGGGGCAGGGAGAGGAAGGAACCTACAACTCCCCAATTCTGGCTGGAGCACCCGCGTGGATGGTGCAGCCCTATGCCAGAACAGGGCACCACAGAGTAGGCGGGGAGAGAAGAGCAGACTCCTCCCGCACAAGCAGACACCACAGTCCCGTCCCAGTGAGACACCCAGTGAGACACCCAGCGGGGCTCTCACGTCCCAGGGTCACAGCCCGCCCCTCCCGCGCAAGCAAGGAAGCACTCACCTCCGTTCGCCAGGGGGCGGCTTCTTGGGGCTTGCAGGTTTGGGCAAGGCCTGGGGGCCAGGCTTAGCAGGGGAGGGGGAGGAGGAAGTAGAGGAGGAGGAGGAGGAGGAGGAGGAGGAGGAGGAGGAGGAAGAGGAGGAAGAGGAGGAAGAGGAGGAGGAAGAGGAGGAGGAGGAGGAGGAGCTGGAACTGGAGCTGCTAGAACGCCTCTTCCGCTTGGCTGGGGTCGGCTCCTGAGGACGACCCTCTCGAACGGGCTCCTTTGGGGCTGGGGCAGGACTGGGCACCCTGTGGGAGGAGAAGAGCGTCACCAGGAGACAACCGCCCGCCCCGCCCCTGCCTTCCCTGGCCTGCAGGAATGGCAGCGGGGGAGGGGGCCGGGAGAGGCGAGAGCGCCGGCGAGCGCCTTCTCTGGAGAGCGGAGGCTGAGCCCCGCAGCACAGGGGATCAAGGCTACACCTCAAGAATGTCCCTGATGGAGGACTAAGGCCCCTGGGCTCAAGTGTGGAAGCCACGCTGGCTGGCTGCCCTCCTCAGAAGGCCACAGGTTTGAGGAGGCCCCTGTGCGTGAGGGAGGGGTGGCTCGGGGAGGGGCCGTCCTGCCTGGAGGCAGGGAGCGGGATGGGATGACCTCTGAAGATCCTTCCAGCCCAGGGAGTTCCTCTTGAGGTCTAACTGCCATCCCTCCTGCTGTAAAATTAAGTCCATTTCCTCTAGTTCTGTCCTCTGTAGAGACGGAAAACTTATCATTATCCTCTAGAGAATGAACCTTTGGAGACTTTCATCTGTCCCGTCCTCCCCCCATTGCCCCCACCCCAGCAGTCTCTTCTACCCCCGACCTAAGGGTCGCAGTCCCCATACCTCCTTCAAAAAGCCAAGGGCCTCTGGACACAGCTTTCCCTCCACGTCCACCCACCCCCACCTCTGCCCCACAGAAGCGTTCTGCCCGCCCAGTCTCCTCACCTTTTCAGTGCTGCCTCAGGCTGAACGGGAAGGCTGGAGCCCTCCGAGTCGCTAGAACTGGAGCCAGAGGACGAGGATGATGAAGAGGATGACGACGACGACGAAGAGGAGGAGCTAGAGGACGAGGAGGAGGAAGAGCTCCGCCGCTCCTTTGACGGCTGCAGGGCAGCCAATGCAGAAGGCTGCTGGGCCCCCACAGAGGCAGGTGGTTCCCCACCTTCAGGGTGGGACGCCCCAGGGGCAGGGCCAGAGAGCATGCCGTTATGGTCACCAGCAGAGGACGTGGTCTTGGCCACCATCCCAGAGGAAAGAGACTGAGACCCTGCTACCAGGGTGGTCTGGACAAGCAAAGATCGGGATTGGTCAGAAAAACCAGAGGGCACGGGGGACCTAGGGCGATCCTGACCTGCAGAGAGAAGAGACTGGGAAGGAACCTGGACCATCCTAGTGGCAGGAGAGGGAGCCCGCTCAGAGGTCATTCTAGACTGGCTTGGGGCAGATGGTGGGGTTCTGGATCTGGCTCGGTCAAGGAGCATTGGTGAGGTTCTGCCACTAACACGCTCATAGGCAGAGAGGGGCACCCTCGGGCTGGTGAGGTTTGCACCAGACAAGGCTGGAGCCATTCTAGCACTGGTAAGGCTTGCAGGGGCCAAGGCTGGAGGGGTTCTTGAGCTGGCAATATTCACAGGAGCTGTGGCATGTGCAGATCTAGGACCCACCAGGTTTGCAGGGGCTGGAGCCTGAGCTGTTCTGGAGCTAGAGGGGTAGTTTGCAGCGCTCGGAGGTGTACCAGAGCCCGAGAGACTCAAAGCTGCCAAAGCAGCTGGGGTTCTGGCTCCTGCCAGGTTCACAGCTGGGGCCGTGGGGGTACGAGGGTCAGCAAGGTTCACAGCAGAAGGTGCCACTGCTGTTCTGGGGCTAGCCAAGTTCATGGCGGCCGCTGCAGCTGGCGTTCTGGAGTCAGCCAGGTTCACTGCTGTTGGTATGGCAGGTGTCCTGGCACTGGCCAGGTTCATAGCTGCTGCAGAAGCTGCAGGAATCCTGCTGGCAAGGCTGGCAGCTGGGGCCGTTCTGAGACTCATGAGAGGCACTGGAGCAGGAACCTGTGACATTCTTGCAGCAAGGCCAGCAGCAGACATGGATGGAGGTGGCCGAGCAGTGCCAAGACTGATAGCTGTCAGGGCAAGTGCGATTCTTGACTGAGCATGATTTTCTGGCACAGATGTTCTCGGGTGATCAGGAATTCGGGGACCTGGGCCATCCATCATGGAGCCCCCAGCTTGCTGAAGAACAGACATGGGTGTTCTAGAGCTGCCAAGAGGTTCGAGCATTCCAGGTGATCTACAGCGGTCCAGGGGAGTTGGTGACATGCTGGGACGACTGAAGCAGCTCATTCTGGAGCTACTAAGTGCTACCGGAGGTGTCCGGGACCCAGAGTGATTCCGTGTGGCTGGAGGAGTAGCAGAACGTGAACGATCAGAACTACTTCCAGACGCAGAGCGCCTGCGGATGGCTGGGGGAGATCTTGTTAAGGACCGTTTGCCCCGAGTGGTTCTTGGAGTACGCGATCTAGAACGGCGGCGGATGGCAAGTGGTGAGCGACTTCGAGAACGTTTGCGAGGCAACAGTGGGGTTCGAGACCTAGAGCGGCGTCGAATAGCCAGAGGAGTTCGGGACCTGGATCGGCGGCGTGTCACTGGAGAGGTTCGTGAGCGGGACCTCCTTCGGGTCACTGGAGACGTGCGAGAGCGAGATCTCCTACGGGTGACGGGGGATGTTCTGGATCTTGATCTTCTGCGAGTAACAGGAGAGGTTCTGCTTCGAGACCGCCGCCTGGTTACTGGTGGGGTCCTGGATCTGGACCTTCTGCGAGTCACTGGTGGAGTTCTAGAACGAGAGCGCCGGCGAGTCGGTGTTCTGGACCTTGACCGACGGCGGGTTACTGGTGGTGTTCTGGACCTGGATCTCCTTCGGCTCACTGGGGATGCTCTGGATCGAGATCTTCGTCGAGTCACTGATGTCCTGGACCTTGATCGTCTCCGACTGACCGGTGAAGTTCGAGACCTGGATCGACGTCGGCTGACCAGAGGTGTTCTGGATCTGGATCGCCGGTGAGCGGCTGGAGAGGCCCGAGATCTGGAGCGTTTCCACGGGGCTGGTGATGTGCGTGAACGAGAACGCTTTCGACTGGCCAAGGGTGTCCGAGAGCGGCCTCTTCGGCGTCGAGAGGAAGTACGGGAACTCTCCTGCCGGGCAGGAGACCTTGAGTGGTAACCTGAGCCTCCCCTCCGCCGCCGAGTAACCCTAGACCTTGACCTGCTCCGCTGCCTTCTCCGAGAGGTTGACTGTGAAGACCCAGACCTATCTCGACGTCGGGCTGTTCTGGTTTTCTCCCTCCTTGAGCGGGAACGGGACCTCTGGAGCCCACGCGGCTTTGGTGAAGGAGAACGGCCCCTCCTTGATGTTGTCTTAGTACGTGGGGATGAAGCCGAACGCCGCCGGCGCGAGGATCTCAACTTTTCAGTTGGCTCTGGGGAAGACACTGAGGGACTTCTCCGGCGTCTTGGGGGAGTTCTCGAGGGGGTCTCTGGAGAGGAGGATGCTGAGCGACTTCTCCGCGAAAGCCTGGCCTTCCTAGCCAGCTCAGGAGATGATCGAGAGCTACGACGCCGAGGTGGAGTGCGAGACTTGGTCTTGGGCTCTGGTGACGACCTAGAGCTTCTTCTAGTAGATCTGGACTTTGGTGGGTGTTCTGGAGAGGACTCAGAACTGCTGCTTTCTTCGGGAGAAGCACCTCTACCTTTGCTTGATGAACCTGAGCTGCTCCTTCTAGGAGGGACCCGAGGGGCAGGAGCCTTGGGTTCAGGAGAGGAATCAGAACCACTCTGTGCCCTGGGTGCTACTCTTGACTTTTCTTTAATTTCAGGGGATGAGCCAGACCTACTACGCAGAGGAGAAGGTCGGGACTTGCTGTCCACCTCTGGAGATGATCCAGAGCGACTCCCCTGTCTAAGTGGCATTCGTGTATTAGCTTTAGAATCAGGAGAAGAGTCTGACTCACTTCTTTCCTGAGGGGATGTACTGGGTTTCCCATCAAGTTCTTGAGAAGATCCAGATGGACTTCTCTGCCCAAGAGGCGTCCTAGCTACAGTCTTCTGTTCAATTGATGATTCTGACCCACTTCTTTCTCTCTGGTGGGTAAGACACTTGTTGAGCTCTGGGGATGATAGAGAACGACTCCTTGGCCTAGGAGTCTGGGGCAAAGCTTTTGGTTCTGGAGAAGAATCACATTCACTTCTCCCCCTGGACGGTGTTCTAGGTATATCTTTCATTCCAGGAGAAGACCCGGATAAGCTGTGCCTTGAGGGAGTCCCAGAACCATCTCGAAGTCCTGGGGAAGACCCAGACCTGCTTCTCCTTGAAGGAGTTCTGGGTAAACCATCCTTCAGTTCAGGAGAAGCAGAACTGCTTCTTTCTCTCGAGGGTGTTCTGGGGACAGCATCAAGAACTGGTGAAGAGACACTTTGATTTGAAGACAGTCCTACTTTTCCCACTGCATCTGGGGATAATTCAGAACTGCTGCGTCTGGAGGACCTTCTTGATTGTTCTTTCATGTCTGGAAATGGATCTGTTTCCAACTGATTAGGAAAAGGGCCATTCAAATCTTTGACCTCAGGAGAAAACCCAGTATTCACTTCCGCAACAGAGCCTGAATTTCTAAATTCTAAAGGTGATCCAAACCTGTCTTCCCTGGAAGGGGAGTTAGACAGTTCTTTATGATCTGGAGAAAAATGTGGCCCACTCCACGTTGAGGCCACTGCAGGGATGTCTGCTTCCAAAGAAGCCTGTGACTGGCTTTGGTCATGAGTTGCAGACACAGTAGGACTTTCTTCTATTTCAAGAGATGATTCAAAATTACTTCCAGCCATTTCTTTAAGTTCTGGAGACAAATGGGGTAGAACCTGGTTTGAAGACTCTTCTGTTTTCTCTAACTCCATTAATTCTTCATCATGGCTTGGCTTAGCTAACACACTGCTTCGGTCTTTTCTATCTGGAGATGACCCAACACTACCTCTTTCTCCTGATGAGGTTCTAGCTGTCTCTTTGAGTACTGGTGAGAATTCAGGCCTATCCTGAACTAGAGGACTCAATTTGTTTCTCAGTCTAGGAGATGATGCAGCAACATCCTCCTGAAGGAGTAAACCCATTTTCTCTTTTGATTCAGGAGAAAGTTCCAATCTACTCGGCCCAGGAACAGATTTAGAGTCCACTGCAGGATACAGAGAAAAGTCTGAATGGCCCCTGCTCTGCTCAGGAGACATTCCAGATTTCAGCCTAGGACTTGACAATTTGTTTTCATCTTGTTTTGCTGGAGAACTGGGTGCTACTTCAGCAACTGGAGATGAGGACCTAGACTGGCCAGTCTTAGATGTTTGAGACTTGCTCTGCAGAGATGGAGATTCAGAGTGACTCTGTCTTATTTCTGGACTTGAAGTATCAGATCTGGGGTCTGGTGAAGCTTGAGATTGTCCTTTCTGCTTTAGAGATGAGTCGAAATAGCTCTCTCCTGGAGGTGGGCTAGGCTTTACTACTGGGCAGAGGGAGGATCCAGAGCAACTCTGTACTGCTGAGTCTTTAGGGTTCTCTTGGGAACATGGTGACCTTGATCCAGAAAGACTGTGCCCTGATGGAGTTTGGGGCTTTGCTTTGGGGCACGGTGAAGGAGACTCTGAGTAACTTCGTCTTGGTGGTGTTCCAGGTTTCACTTTGGTATCTGGTGAGGAGGACCTAGATTGACTGTGTCTTTGCACCAATCTAGATTCTACCTTGGAACAGGGAGACTCTGATCTGCTTTGCCTTGGCGGTGTTTTAGACATCACCCTACTAGGACTTGGAGAAGAGGAGCGAGAATGGCTTTGGGCTGGTGATGTTATTGCCTTTACTTTGGGTTGTGGAGATGACGACCCAGACAGGCTCTGTCTGGGAGGTGTGTTAGATTTCACTCTTGGAGGAGAAGACCCAGAACAGCTATGTCTTGAAGGGGTCCTAGATTTTACCTCAGGGTCAGGTGATGATTCTGAACGGCTCTGTCTTTGTGGTGTTGCAGATTGTTCATCTGCCTGCGGACTTGTTACACACCCTTGCCTTGGTGGCGTTCCAGATTTCACTTTAGGTTGAGGAGATGAACTGGAATGACTCTGTCTGGATGGTGTTTTAGATTTCTGATTAGAGGGTGAAGAACCAGAGCGACTTCGCCTTGGTGGTGTTCTAGATTTAGCTTTAGGCTGAGATGATCCAGAGCGACTGCGCACTGGCGGGCTCTGAGACTTTTGTTTAGGGCATGGAGAGGACCCTGAAAGACTTCGTCTCAAGGACAAGTGAGATTTTGCTTTGGACCGTGGCGAAGAGCCAGACCTGCTCCGCCTCGAAGAAACATGGGATTTTTTCATTTCTGGGCTTGAGTTGGACCTGCTCCTTCTCTGTGATGTTCTGGATTTGTTCTTCCGCTCTGAAGATGAACCAGACCTGCCTCTTCTTTGAGGTGTTCTAGAATGAGACCTTCCCCGTCTAACTAGACTTCTACTCCGGGATCTTCCTCTTCTCGCTGGACTCCTAGACCGAGATCTTGCTCTCCTAGCTGGAGTTCTGGAGCGTGACCGACCACTTCGTCTAGCTGGGGTTCTGGAGCGTGACCGACCACTTCGTCTAGCTGGGGTTCTAGAGCGTGACCAACCACGCCGGGCTGGGGTTCTAGAGCGTGACCTGCCACTTCTCCTGGCTGGCGATCTACTACGAGACCTCCGTCGTACTGGTGATCGGGTCCTAGATCTGCGCCTAGCAGGTGTTCTGGAGCGAGACCTACCCCTCCGGGCTGGTGTTCTGGACCGAGATCTACGCCTAGTAGGTGTTCTGGATCGTGATCTCCGCCTGGCTGGAGTTCTAGAACGAGACCTGCCCCGCCTAGCTGGAGTTCTAGAACGAGACCTGCCCCTAGTGGCTGGCGATCTAGAGTGTGACCTGCCTCGCCTTGCTGATCTAGACCTGCCTCTTCTCTGGGTATTTCTGCTCCTGGACCAGCCTGGTCGCTGAGGAGACCTAGAACGGCCACGTCGCTGGGGGCTTCTAGATCGTCCCCACCTCTGTGCAGACCTGGACCTACGCCACTGAGGGGACCGAGAATGGCCTCTCTTGGTGGGGGTTCGAGACCGAGACCGCCCCCTCTTAGTGGTGGCAGGGCTTCGGGACCTCCCCACCCTACGAGAAGGAGTATGAGAATGTGACTTATCCCGCTTTACTCGACCATGTGAACGACTCTTGGATGCGGGAGAGGAAGAAATTTCTCGGCGGGACCCAGGAGCTGGTGTGGGCTTAGGACTTTCAGGGGAAGAGCTGGCATGCCGAGAAAGTTTGGTCGGTTGAGGGGATGGTGGACAGCTCTCAGAAGATGACTGGGGAAGTTTCTCAGGAGACTTAGGCAGTGAGTGGCCCCGTGTTGGGGATGCCTCAGATGGGGGTTTCACTGGCTCCTGACTTAAGGGGGTTGTTGCAAGAGGTTGCGGGGAGCTGCCATGTTGCTCAGCAAGGAGCAGGGCGGGAGCAGGTGGTTCTGGGCCTGTGCTGCTCCTTTCCGGAGAGGGACTAGGTTGAACTGCAGATTTCTAAGAATGGAAAAGAGAGCAAGGATAGGGGTATGTAAGCACCAAAACTTCCTATCACCTGTAGAATACCAACACCCTTTTCAATAAACTTTTCCTCTACACATCCCATTATATCAACCTGTACTCTTCACCACAGGAAAATACATTCATTCATTAAGAGATCTTATAATACAAAAAAAAAGGGAAACATGAAGGTGACTCTCAGTCACCTCAAGAGTCTTGTAATCTAAGAGAAAAAACAGAGTGCAAACAATACACTACCTTTTTACAATAAATAATCATTACAAAATGCTGTGAAAACAGTAAAAGAGGTTCTGCTAAGTGGAAAAACATAGCAGCTTCCTGGAACGGATGGTATTGATGTCACCCTTAAAAATAACTGTATTAAGAAGTAAAAGAACAAAGGCAAAGATTTGAGGACAAGATATGTGTGAATAAGAAAAACTAAGATGAAGTAAAGGAAAAGCTACAAAAGAAGACCAAGTCATAAAAACTTTGAATGTCAAGTCAATAGGAAGAGAAAATTAAGTTCCTGAGGTAATCCAACTTATAGTTTGGAAACTACCTCTGGATGACATGGAAAATAGACAAGACAGCTAAGAATTTCACAAAGAGTAATTAAAATACACTGTTAACAGAAAACATGATTAAGGCTTGATTTAAAATGGCAAGTATAAAACCATTTCATAGTAGTGTTTTCAGACTGTAAGCAGAAACCCAGTGGACTGAAATATTTAGTGAGCCACAAGCATTTAGCTAAATAAAAATGCTAAGGCATAAGTAGTAGAAAGGTAAGTATAATTTAAAGAAACATGTTCAAGGTCTCTCTGTCTGAGCATAAACAGGATGGTGATGTAAAACCTATTCCTGTCCAGTGACATTTGAAAACCACAATTCTGAACGACTTGCAGATGCAGGTGAAAACTTGGTACATGAAAAGAACACATAAAAGTAGAACTCAATTTTTCTTAGCAAGTTCTTCTCCCCTCACTTCAAACACCTTGCTTGCCTAATAAACCCATAGCCCTGAAACCCAATGAGTATGCACTAACTGAGGAACATACCTCTTTCTTATCTTTGTCTTCATAAGGGCTGCTAGGCTGCTTTGTAGAAGGTTCGAGGTTGCTAGGCTGCCCTGTGTTGGTGGTGCCTGGTTCCCTGGAAGATGCATCTCCCTCCCCTCGACGCCCTGAAGCAGGGGAAGGACTTTGCCCAGTCAAGGCTGTTGCATGAGTTTTTGCTGCAGCACTTCGAGACCTGAGGGAGGTAATTGAGGACCCAGGAAAGGAAGGAAATCAGCTCAGGGGAGAACAGAAAACCCCCTCCCCAGTTCCCATCTACCTTTCCTGACCACACAACCCTCTTTCAAAAAGCCTTCTCTTATTCACAAAACTGAAATCACTCATTGAATCCAAGTCCAGTTCACTTTGGTCCTTCTCTTCCCGACACAATCCCCAAAAATATGTTCTCCCTTTACCCCTTTTAATATTCACCTCCCCCAAACCTCCCCAAACCCACCACCCAGCCCACTCCCTACCCACTTCATTCACAACTCACCTCTGAGCCCACCTCCTTCAGGAAGCCTTCCCCGATTAAGGAAGCCAGGGTAAGGATTCCTTCCTCCCCCAGACACCACGAACAAACCACCACCCCCACTATTCTGGCAGTCCATATACATCAGAACAAAACAAAAAATAACAAAATAACAAAAAAAAAAAAGAAAAAGAGAAGGGGAAATGTATATGTCTGTCCATCCTGTTGCTTTAGCCTGTCAGCTCCTAGAGGGCAGGGACCGTGTCTTCCGAATGGTCTGTGCAGCGCCTAGCACACCGTGGGCGCTCAATAAATATTAAGTTTATTAGCCCACAAGCCCCTCTCCCCCCTCCTCCTGGACCACCCCTTACCGACTGCGAGACGTATCAGAAGAAGAAGCAGAGTCAGCAGAAGTTGAACGAGGGGCCCGGCGGCTCTTGGGAGCTGGTGTTGTACTTCGTGACCTGAAGGAAGGCCACCACCACAGCTCAGGATGCTGTCACATGCACTGGATTCCCCTCATCCATCCCTCAACCCTTTCCCAGTCAGGGACATGTGAACAGATTCTACCCCATCTCCTAGATGGCATGCATCTACTTGCTAATTCCCTTCAAATTCACTCACCGCTTCCGCTTTTTGTCCTTAGATTTACGTTTGCTCTTTGGAGTGGGAGACCTGAGAAGTAAGGCAAGATTATTAAAAATATATATTTTTAAGAAATACAAATAAAAATGAACCCTCCGGGCTGGTGTTCTGGACCGAGATCTACGCCTAGTAGGTGTTCTGGATCGTGATCTCCGCCTGGCTGGAGTTCTAGAACGAGACCTGCCCCGCCTAGCTGGAGTTCTAGAACGAGACCTGCCCCTAGTGGCTGGCGATCTAGAGTGTGACCTGCCTCGCCTTGCTGATCTAGACCTGCCTCTTCTCTGGGTATTTCTGCTCCTGGACCAGCCTGGTCGCTGAGGAGACCTAGAACGGCCACGTCGCTGGGGGCTTCTAGATCGTCCCCACCTCTGTGCAGACCTGGACCTACGCCACTGAGGGGACCGAGAATGGCCTCTCTTGGTGGGGGTTCGAGACCGAGACCGCCCCCTCTTAGTGGTGGCAGGGCTTCGGGACCTCCCCACCCTACGAGAAGGAGTATGAGAATGTGACTTATCCCGCTTTACTCGACCATGTGAACGACTCTTGGATGCGGGAGAGGAAGAAATTTCTCGGCGGGACCCAGGAGCTGGTGTGGGCTTAGGACTTTCAGGGGAAGAGCTGGCATGCCGAGAAAGTTTGGTCGGTTGAGGGGATGGTGGACAGCTCTCAGAAGATGACTGGGGAAGTTTCTCAGGAGACTTAGGCAGTGAGTGGCCCCGTGTTGGGGATGCCTCAGATGGGGGTTTCACTGGCTCCTGACTTAAGGGGGTTGTTGCAAGAGGTTGCGGGGAGCTGCCATGTTGCTCAGCAAGGAGCAGGGCGGGAGCAGGTGGTTCTGGGCCTGTGCTGCTCCTTTCCGGAGAGGGACTAGGTTGAACTGCAGATTTCTAAGAATGGAAAAGAGAGCAAGGATAGGGGTATGTAAGCACCAAAACTTCCTATCACCTGTAGAATACCAACACCCTTTTCAATAAACTTTTCCTCTACACATCCCATTATATCAACCTGTACTCTTCACCACAGGAAAATACATTCATTCATTAAGAGATCTTATAATACAAAAAAAAAGGGAAACATGAAGGTGACTCTCAGTCACCTCAAGAGTCTTGTAATCTAAGAGAAAAAACAGAGTGCAAACAATACACTACCTTTTTACAATAAATAATCATTACAAAATGCTGTGAAAACAGTAAAAGAGGTTCTGCTAAGTGGAAAAACATAGCAGCTTCCTGGAACGGATGGTATTGATGTCACCCTTAAAAATAACTGTATTAAGAAGTAAAAGAACAAAGGCAAAGATTTGAGGACAAGATATGTGTGAATAAGAAAAACTAAGATGAAGTAAAGGAAAAGCTACAAAAGAAGACCAAGTCATAAAAACTTTGAATGTCAAGTCAATAGGAAGAGAAAATTAAGTTCCTGAGGTAATCCAACTTATAGTTTGGAAACTACCTCTGGATGACATGGAAAATAGACAAGACAGCTAAGAATTTCACAAAGAGTAATTAAAATACACTGTTAACAGAAAACATGATTAAGGCTTGATTTAAAATGGCAAGTATAAAACCATTTCATAGTAGTGTTTTCAGACTGTAAGCAGAAACCCAGTGGACTGAAATATTTAGTGAGCCACAAGCATTTAGCTAAATAAAAATGCTAAGGCATAAGTAGTAGAAAGGTAAGTATAATTTAAAGAAACATGTTCAAGGTCTCTCTGTCTGAGCATAAACAGGATGGTGATGTAAAACCTATTCCTGTCCAGTGACATTTGAAAACCACAATTCTGAACGACTTGCAGATGCAGGTGAAAACTTGGTACATGAAAAGAACACATAAAAGTAGAACTCAATTTTTCTTAGCAAGTTCTTCTCCCCTCACTTCAAACACCTTGCTTGCCTAATAAACCCATAGCCCTGAAACCCAATGAGTATGCACTAACTGAGGAACATACCTCTTTCTTATCTTTGTCTTCATAAGGGCTGCTAGGCTGCTTTGTAGAAGGTTCGAGGTTGCTAGGCTGCCCTGTGTTGGTGGTGCCTGGTTCCCTGGAAGATGCATCTCCCTCCCCTCGACGCCCTGAAGCAGGGGAAGGACTTTGCCCAGTCAAGGCTGTTGCATGAGTTTTTGCTGCAGCACTTCGAGACCTGAGGGAGGTAATTGAGGACCCAGGAAAGGAAGGAAATCAGCTCAGGGGAGAACAGAAAACCCCCTCCCCAGTTCCCATCTACCTTTCCTGACCACACAACCCTCTTTCAAAAAGCCTTCTCTTATTCACAAAACTGAAATCACTCATTGAATCCAAGTCCAGTTCACTTTGGTCCTTCTCTTCCCGACACAATCCCCAAAAATATGTTCTCCCTTTACCCCTTTTAATATTCACCTCCCCCAAACCTCCCCAAACCCACCACCCAGCCCACTCCCTACCCACTTCATTCACAACTCACCTCTGAGCCCACCTCCTTCAGGAAGCCTTCCCCGATTAAGGAAGCCAGGGTAAGGATTCCTTCCTCCCCCAGACACCACGAACAAACCACCACCCCCACTATTCTGGCAGTCCATATACATCAGAACAAAACAAAAAATAACAAAAAAACAAAAAAAAAAAAGAAAAAGAGAAGGGGAAATGTATATGTCTGTCCATCCTGTTGCTTTAGCCTGTCAGCTCCTAGAGGGCAGGGACCGTGTCTTCCGAATGGTCTGTGCAGCGCCTAGCACACCGTGGGCGCTCAATAAATATTAAGTTTATTAGCCCACAAGCCCCTCTCCCCCCTCCTCCTGGACCACCCCTTACCGACTGCGAGACGTATCAGAAGAAGAAGCAGAGTCAGCAGAAGTTGAACGAGGGGCCCGGCGGCTCTTGGGAGCTGGTGTTGTACTTCGTGACCTGAAGGAAGGCCACCACCACAGCTCAGGATGCTGTCACATGCACTGGATTCCCCTCATCCATCCCTCAACCCTTTCCCAGTCAGGGACATGTGAACAGATTCTACCCCATCTCCTAGACTTGCTAATTCCCTTCAAATTCACTCACCGCTTCCGCTTTTTGTCCTTAGATTTACGTTTGCTCTTTGGAGTGGGAGACCTGAGAAGTAAGGCAAGATTATTAAAAATATATATTTTTAAGAAATACAAATAAAAATGAAACGGAAAGAATTGGAGAAGTTGACAGCGGAAGATGAAGCTCCCAAGAAACCCCCTAGAGAACAAGCAAGGCTACTAAGCAATTGCTCACCACTCCATGTGGCACTATATACTCTCTAACCCAAGAGCTCTTACCTATGCTTCCGTTTCTTGGATTCAGATTCTGACCTGTTGGGGAGAAAAACAAAACATAAACCAATATCTATGCCTGAACTCATCAAGCCTCTCCGGTGGCTGTGCACCCCCACCTCATACCTGTGCTTCTTCTTCTTAGAGCTCTTCTTCCTCTCTCGTCGAGGAGAGCTGCTCTCTGACCTGCTAAAGATCAGTTCAGAAACAAGGTCATTCTGCTTGGCTCCTTCCCTGGCCCTCCCACTTACAATCTGCCCCTGAAAAAACTTCCTGAAGCACCAAACAACTCCAACGCCACCAGTGTCCCAGACCTCACCCCAGGACTTATGCTGTTCTCCAAAAAGCACAAGTACCTCCTCCCCCTTAAGTCAACAAACCTCAAAATGGAAAAGAAAATCCCAGAAATCCAAGATGCTGCTAGCCAGTTCTTAACTGGCAGAGCTGCAGAATCAACCCTTGCACCCTGAGCACACACACATTCCTTCCCCCCATCTGAGATCTCAATGTTAACTCCCTCTCTCCTGGCTTTTCTGACAACTCTCTCCTGCTTCCCAGAAGGAAGAATCCTCCATTTCCAAAAAGAGAGAGAGAGAAAAGGAACATGACAAAACTGGTCCTCTGGCTGCTAGAGTAACTTTCCAATCAACTTACCGCCCTCTATCTTTCTTCTTTTTCTTTTTCTTTTGCTTTGGGGTTGGTGAACGAGAACTGCTGGACTCACGAACAAGGCTGGGGAAAATTGATAAAAAGCAGGGATGGGCGCTAGGACAAATTTTCTTAGACATTTTAACTTCAGAACAAAACCTAACGAGTATGGGAAGAAACAGTCCACTGAAAAAAAAAAAAAAGAGTGCTTAGGATTAGGAAGAGAAGCTGACACTGGGTGTTGTGTACCTGTAAGGTTTGGGAGGCTCGGGAGCTGGTTGTTTAGCTTCTCGAGCACGACGTTGAGGATCAAAAGAGCTGCCATCCACATAGGAATCACTGATGCCAAAGGCAGCACGAAGTCGCTCATTCTTCTTTTCATTCAATTCTGCCAACTGGTGAGTCTCAGTTACTCTAGAGGAAAAAAGGGCAAAGGTCTAAAAGAGATAGAGAACGAAGGACAGACTCACATTCACAAAACTGTAGGGAAGAGCCAAACAAGACTGGGAAAAGACGGTCACCAGCGGGAAGGAGGTACAAGGTAACAAGAAAGGACAGCAGAGGCAGCAGTTTAGGACGACAGAAGAAACCAGGGGAGAGTGAGAATACTCACACTGGCCTCTGCCCTGGGGTCTCCTCCTTGCCCCCAGGGTTCACATCCTTCTCCAGCAACATGAGTCGAAAGGTCGCCACTTTTTCCTGAATTTGCTGTTCCTCGTACCTGAAGAACAAATCCCTTCAGGGTTAGAGCTTGATTGGACAAACCCCAGTCCCCTGGTTCCCAGCAGGATCCCTTTCCTCTCCACGCACACAGAGAACTTTTCACTCACTGTCACCCAGAGGGCCCTTATCTTAAATCCTTCTGATCTTTTCCTGTCATGTTTCTTCCCTCCACTTCCTACACCCTCTAGAACAGTGGATTTTAAACGTGCTACACTCCACGGGCCAAGAGAAGAAAGTTAAGCAGGCAGAGTTCCAGGTGCTTCTCCCCAACTTTGACAAGAACAGGTTTTTCATTTCCTGGGATTCCAAAGTAAGGTGCATTGTATAAAAAAGGGGCGCCACTGCTAAAGTTTGAAAACCACTGCTCTAAAAGGTTTTCTGCCTGAATGTGCTCCTGTTACAAATTCTACTTCCCTACCCAACCCATGATCTCCTCTCATCCAGGTATTATTCCAGTTCCTGTTTCCCTGCCTTTCTACTCCTAAGGCCTCAATCCTTAAATGCATTTACCTTCCTTTCTCTACCAATGACAACAGCCATCAGCTTAACTAGCGCTTCTCTTGCCCGGTCTGTTTTTTGCCTGATCCACCTCTCCCTTAAACCACATTTTTGTTTCTCAATAGACCCCGTTTCCCCATATACCTCCATCTAAATACTTCAGACTCCCTCAGGCTGCCTCATGTGTCCCAGACACACAGTCAGTCCTCATCTCCGACTTTGAAACTTCCCTAACTCAGCTTGCTAGCTCCTTTACCTTCCTCCCCTCCTTCAACTCCTCTCCAGGCCTCTTCAACCAGCCCTAAGCTCCCTACGTCCCACCTGACTCCCCCAGCTCTGCACTCGCTCAGTGCTTGGCTCTCCCCCAGACCTCCCCTCACCCCTGCTCTTCCATCATCTCCTCCAGCTCGAGGCATCGCAGCTCCACGCGCCGCTTGCGCTCGTGGTCCAGGATGTCAGGATTAGGCCGCTTCACCAGGGCAGCCTCCAGGCGCCGCAGTTCCTCCTCTCCCTTGTAGTCAGGCCGCTCACCCCGGCGGCCCCGCACCAGGGACAGGTTGCGCTGGACGTAGCCGTTGGTGCCGCTGCCCCGGGGCGTCGGCAGCCCGATCCCGTTGTACATGGCCCCGTGGCCGGGGAGGGGGGCACCACCGCTCCTGAGGGGGAGCGGGGAGACACGGGTCAGGCCCCTGGCCCCAAGCTAACCACTTACCACCACCCAAATCCCTGCTCTCCATCCCTATTTCAACCCGTATCTCCACACTAAACCTCCTTTAGCTGCGTAATCCTCCTGCTCTAACAAAACCCCTTCATCTTTCCCACAATGCTTTCTTTCTACCAAATCACAGTCCAGCTCCTACAATCTTTTCCTCCAAATGCCATTCCTGCTTGCACCTAGATTTTCTTCTTTTTCCACCCTACACAAACAAGGATCCTGTTTCTCTCAAAACTCTCCACACTGTCCCTTTATTCTCCTTTGGCCCCAATACACACAAGCAGTGTCCTCATCAACTACTCTAATTCCTAATCTCTGGTAACGACTGAGGCTTCCAAACACGGTACAAACACCATACATCTGTGGCACCCAAGGGCCTGCAGTCCAAGTCCAAAGACTCTTCCAAGAACTGACCTAAGGATTTCAAACTACAGTTAGGAATACAACATGTACTAAAATAGCCCCTAGATATCCAAACAAGTGGACTGATTGGATAAGATAAACCAAGTGCACTGTGCAGCCTCACTCCCAGACTGAAGGCCAGCATGCACATCACAAACCCACATGCAACCTAGATACATAATCCTCTTATACTTGAACTCCCAAGTAAGGGGTAATTTCCTAGATTCTAAATATTTATAGCTCTTATCAACTACCTGATACCTCATTCCTTCAATTTCCTTCCCAACAGAATTCCCACACCATGTACAGCTCACCCCAGTCTCACCAGTGCCTGTTAAATACTACCTGTTTTCAACTCAATGCTCTGAACACACCAAACTAGCCTCCTCTGTTCCAGTTGTTCCCAAGCCCTCTCTACATACCTCGCCATCTACTTTACACCTTGCTTTCACTAACGATAAACACTTAGCTTTCCATATCAGTCCCTTCTATCTCACCTCCTAGTTTTTCTTACGCCCCTGCCTTACCCTTCTTCATGCTAACATCTCCATGCCTCCCACCAGGTTCTACTCTCCCGACCTCTCCCAACTCCAGCATGACTTTGAAAAGCTCTCAAAACCCCAGTTTTTCTGGTTAGAATTCCTGACTATACATACTCTATTCCTTTTTCCTACTATATATGTACTCTACTTCTCTCCAACTCATCCAAGATACTTTCACACAGCATAAATGTGTGAGGGAAAATTACCCCAGGAAAAAAAAACCAAGAAACAAAGTGGAGAGGTTAGTGATAGAGAGAAAAGAGAATTGTTTAAAATGGCTACATTTTAAAAACTCCAGGGTAAAGGAACATCGTATAAATACCTAGGTGACTTACTAAAAAATAAAAAAAATAAGCACAGGGTAATATTGAATGGAAGGGAGTAGCCCAACTCAACGACAGTTTGGACCTTACTCTCCAAACTCTAAAGCTGGGTCCCTGCTCAATTCCAGCAGCAGACTCAGGATCTTTTTAAAAATAGTAATAACCGGACCGGGGGTAAGGAGTCAGAGATGAGGATGAATCTAGGAAAGGCAAATGGAAATGCACACACACACAAAAATGAGTAGTTTTTTTCTAACACAAGACATGAATTTCTCTACCTCCCAACCCTTTCATTTTCTCAAATACCACCTTCCCCACTCTAAACCTAGGTCCTTCTTTGCCTCTCTATACCCCACCTAGTCTCTACCTCTGCAGAATGCTTCTGACCTGCAATTAATTCTTCAGCCTCACCATTCACCCACACTTCCATACCACCTCACACAGTAATCCTCCCACTCCCTAGGGAGGGAAAACCAGCAGCTACTAAGCAAAGGGTATTAAGTAACGACGAATTAGAGAACTTTTAGAGAATGAGACAAAAAAGGAAAAAGAAAATAAAAAAGGAAAAAGCCACACCACCATCAAATGGAAGGACCAAGAGGGCTAGACATCAACAATACACACAAATTGCCAGCTAGATTAACTTTTTTTAACACTGGGATTCTTAAACTGGGGTCCACAGACTGTGGGCATGCAGAAGTTAAAGGCAGAAAAAATAACAGCAAGCTGCATAATAAGGCCAGAGAATTTTCTGTTGGAAAATTATGCCGTCACACTAACGAGATTAAAGAAATAATCTCGAAATTCAGTATTAAGAAATTCAATAAAATAAACGCACCAAAAAGGAAGCAGAGGGGGCGTGCAGGAAAATGGACATAGGCACAGCGAACTCAGCACTGGGGCACTGCAGAAGCTGAGTGGACACTATGGAACCCAGAAGCCTTAAAATATTAGCTCAAAAAGAGACTTAAGTCCACACACCTAAGAGAGAGAACAGATTCTCTTTGAATTTCTCATCCAGAAGACACCTTAGATAAGCTTGAGTGGAAGGCTAACAACGTGTCAAATAACGCCTGAAATAGTCCAGCGTTTTCTTCCCAAGGAAGGGCTCCAACAGCTTCCCCAGCTTTAACGCAATTTTTGGGAAGACGACGTAAAGTCCCCGCCGCCCCAACCTCTCAAACAAGGAGCACACGGTCTGCTTTACATACCTAGGCTGAATACACGGAAATTTCTTTAAAAAGCTTGGGGCTTTTCCCTCCCCGATACTCCATGGCAAACGGTCACGAACCCGAACTGTCTAAATCTCCGGGGCATCTAGTTCAAGGCCCTCCCTGCGCCGGCTGAGCCACCAGGGCCTATTTTCGGCCTTGAGGAAAGACAGAGCGGCCTGCATGGCGCTCCGCAGTCTTGGAGGCTCTGGGCCGGACCACAGACCTTAGGGGGAGCAAGAACTGACCTAAGGATTCCCCTGGGGGGAACTGGGCCCAGGAGCCTATCCCCGCAGCCCCCACCAGCGGGGAAAATGTCCGAAAGAGCAGAAACCGAAAGGCGCGCGGCCCCGGCCTCGCCGAGAGCGTGCGCGTGCCCGAGCGCAAGCAGCGGCGCGAGCCGTTGCCAGGGGGGAGGGCAGTAAAAGCCCGCGCACGACGAGAACCAAGGGGAGGGGGAGGGGAAGCAGGCGAGCGAAAGCGTCCGCGCGAGCTAGAAGCGGTGAGAGCGCGTGCGCGCGGCGGCCCAGGCCGTTCTCCGCGAGCCTTGGCCTCGCGCCGAGACCACTGCCCCTCCCCCACCTGTCTCGCGCGTCCCTCACCCTCTCACCCGCCGCCGCCTCCGCCCGCCGCCTCCGAGGGGGAGAGGTGCCGCCGCTGCCGGTACTCGAGCTCCCGAATCCCTCGGGGCGTGGAGCCACCGCCTTGCCTCGCTGGTCCGCCCGCCTCAGCAGACACCGACGCCTCCTCGCTTCCTCAGGGGCCGCAGCAGGCTCCGACTGCGCCACTCGCACCCCGCCTGGGCCGCGCTGCACGTCAGCACGACCAACTAAGCGCGTCAGCGCGCAGCCGCGCGCGGCGCAGGGCCCGCCGGGAACCGTAGTACTCCTTGTAGCCTTGTGCGCAGGCGCTGAAACTACACCGGGAAGTATAGTTTCTTAAGACCCAAGGGCGGTTCAACTCCGCTGCGGAGAAACTACGAGTCCTGTCGGCCCGTGCGACGAAGAGCGCGGGGAGCGGACAAGAGCGGCAACGTATTACAGAGGATTTCCGCAAGGCGGGGAGGGGCACAAGGCTTAGGCCCACACCAAGCGACGCTAGAGAGCTCCTCCACCTCCCTCCTTTACCTCAGAGCATTCTGGGAGTTGTAGTGCTAGCGAGGCGCGGAGCCCGTATGTAGCTTCGCCTACCCCGGCCCTCCCCCAACCGCGGGGCACGGCCGCCATCTTGTGTCCCGATGTTTAGAGGCGATGGGTGCCTCTTGGTGACCGCGGGCTTCCCGGGGCTCCTGTGGCCGTGCCGCACCCGGTGTTCTGCACCGGAGGAGCCCCCTGAAACTCCACCCAGGGGCAGCCCCGCAGTCCCAGAGCCCGGCTTCAGGCCTAAGGCTCCAGGCAAAGACCGAGTCTGCCGGCTGTGGTGTTCGCAACTTTAATCGTTTCAGATGGTGCGGAACCGGCTGGAACCTGGTGAATGATTTTTTGTTACCTCCGGGTGAGGCGGCCAAGCAACGCTGCGGTTTTCTCCAGCAGAACCCGAGTTGTGTTACATGTGAAAGGACAAAAGCGTTACAACGCCCTTAAATATGTCACTCCTCCGTAGAGCATCTCCCACTAATTTTACGTCCGTTTTGTTGAGCCAGAGAACCAGCCAGGCCCCCTATGAGGAGAGCTGGAAGAAGCTGGGCGGCTCAGCCAGGCCTCAGTTTCAACCCGACGCCACTCCTTGCTGGGGCCCTGGGACTCCCCCTCGGCCGCCCTGGTCATCTCGGCCACGTGATGACCGCTGAGTGAACTGCAGTCTGCTTGCGTTTGAGGCATTGTATTTGATATTAGGGAGTTTTCTTTTTAGCCTCCCCGCAAGATGATGAACTTACGGCAGGTGCCAGAACCAGGAGACCGCCGTTGGTGTAGGAGGTCAGCCAACAGTGCCGGGCCGCTGGAATCCCGCCTCCATGCACTGGGGCATCTTTGCCCGCTGCTTCCGTGAGCCGGCCGCACCTCTGGCCTCATTTACGGTGAAAGTGGCAAAGCTTTTGTCTTTCTGGGCCTGAGCTAGTGTTTCTGAGGCTGAACGAGCAGAGTGGTGGTTTCTTAAAATCCACCACCTCCAGTGGGACCCTTTTGTGGAAGCAAATTTCCAGTGATATTTTTCTCTGTATTTATCAAATATTTTGTGCTAAATTGTGAATCAGCACATTTAATGCAGATGACAAGCCCATGGGTGTTACTCTCCCTATGGGGAGCACAGTGAATTCCCTTACATAATCGTAGTACAGTTTGCAAAATCAGGAACATAATATTGGAACAATAATCTACAGACCTTATTAAGGTGTCGATTGTGAAGGTAATAACCTTTATAGCAAAAGAAATTCAAAAACATTGCAGGTATCGCATTCATTTGTCGTCCTTTTTAGGTTCCTTTAACCTGGAACAGTTCTTCTTTGTGATTTGTGACATTGCCATTTTTGAAGAATACAGGCCATTTATTTCATAGAATGTCCCTCCATTTGGGTTTGTCCGACATTTCATTATGTTTAGATTGAGGTAAGACACTCGTGGCAGGAAGAGCACAGAAGTGATGCTGTGTTCCTAGTGCGTAATGTGAAGAGGTACTTACTGCCCAATACATCCATCACGGCGGACCTGGATGCTTTGGTGAAGAAGGAGCCAAGCAGGTTTCTCTGCTGTAAAATTTCTAGTTTACCCTCCCTGATTTAAAGAAAAAAAGTCTCAGTGGAAAATGTATTTAGAAACTAAGATCTGGATACTGTAGGAATACTTACAATTACCCTGGAGTCATTACTTCTAGACCCTCTTGACCGATAGGGCTGGGAAGTGAAGGAGCTGTGTGCGTCCATGAGTTGACAGTGATTTCTCTAATTCCAGTCTAATGCTATGGGGTTCGTTCTATCCTTTGCCATCTCGGTGTTGGGAACTCCATTCTCCGATGGTGAGGAACCTGGCTCCCATTTCCTCAATCTGTTTACTTATTTGCTCAACCCTAGTATTCCAAAAGCAGCTTCAGAATTGTTCACCATGCTTCTGTGAAAAAATATAAAAAAAAAAAGACAGCCTACCAATTAGAGTTCAATAGTTCTTTAGAAGTTTTTTTTAGCCTGAGGGAGTGTGCTCTAAACACTATATTCAAAACTTACATAAATTAGTTGTTTTCTCCCCCTTGTGTTTATGTTACTCATTTGAAATATGCTTGGTTCATTTGTATTACATTTTAGGATTTTTTTTTCCTCCTATCCTTGGAGATTGTATTTTATTTTTTCAGATATTTGAAACAATAACATAATTCCAAAAGGCAGATCAGTACAAAAGGCATGTTCAGAGGAGTGTCTTTTCTCCCAGTCCCTCTCCTCTCTGCAGTTCCTGCCTGCCATCTTCTGAAACTGATGTCGGGACTCTGCTTTTTCCCTCCAAGGTTTCATTCTGCTTAAGTGAGGTGACACATGCATATTTTCTCAATTCTTTCTTTCACGAATGCAGCACGTTGCAGATACCCTTCTGTACTGTCCTTTTTCACTTAGCAGTGTATCCTGAAGATCTGTCCTTAGTGAGCTCCCAGGGATAGATCTCTACTCAGCCACTCTTTTATGAATGAACATCTAAAGTGTTTCCAATAATTGTAATCACAGACCATGTTGCAGTGAGTCAAGGAAGTGCATATGTGTTTCATATTGTTGGGGGTATATCTTGGATGGAAATTTCTCAAAATGGGATTGCTGGGGCAACAGGTAAAAACGTGTAGTATAGCTAGTAATGACAGAGTTCCCTCAGTAAAGGTTACACCAGTTTGCATTTCCACTAGCAAAATTTGAGGAGACCTCCTTTCCCACAGCCTCACCAACAGGGTGGGTTGCTATAGTTTTGGTAACCTGATAGCTGAGAAATGGTTTTTCAGTGTAGTTTTTAAGTGCGTTCATGTCATGCAGCCCCATCCATTTCAGAACTACCTCATCCCCCAAACTGAAGCTCTGTCTGCATTAAACACTAACTCCTCATTCTTCCCTCCCCTACCCCTGGTAACCTCTATTCTGTTTTCTGTCTCTATGAATTTGCCTATGCTAGGCACCTCATCTTCATGGAATTATACAGTATTTGTCCTGTTGCATCTGGCTTATTGCACTTAGCATCATGTTTTTCAGGTTTATCCATGTTGTAGCATGTGTCTGAATTTCATTCTTTGTTATGACAATGTAAGACCACTTTTTATGTATCCATTCATTCACTCATTGATGGACATTTGAGTTTCCATGTTTTGGCTATTGTGAATAATGCTGCTGTGAACATTGGCATATTTAAATTTTCGTGTGGACATATGTTTTCATTTCTCTTGAGAATATTCCTAGGAGTGGAATTGCTAGGCCATACGGTAATTCTATGGGTAACTTTTTGAGAAGCTGTCAGACTGTTTCTACAGGGCCTGCACTGTTTTTCTTTCCCCCAGCCACACATGAGGGTTCCAGTTATCTTGTTATTTTCTGTCTTTTTGATCATTGCCATGCTAGTGAGCATGAAGTGGTATCTCACTGTGGTTTTAGACTTGCATTTCCCTAGTGACATTGAGCCCCTTTTCATGTACTTGTTGACCATTTTATATCTTCTTCAGGGAAATGTCTATTCAAGTTCTTTTTCATTTTTAATTGTGTAGTTTGGTTTTTTTTTTGTTGCATTGTAAGAATTCTTTATGTATTTTGAATATTAATTCCTTATCACATATATGATTTTCTCTCACTCCGTAGGTGGTTTTTTCACTTTTCTGATAGTATCCTTTCATGCACGAAAACTGCGTTTTCATGAAATCTAGTTTATCTCAGTGTAGTTTTAATCTGCATTTCACTTACAAGTGACGCTGAACATAAGCTCTACCTTCCCTTATAGAAGTGTACAGTCTGGTTAAATTAAGCGGGATGCTTAAAGCCATGTGTTCTGAATAGCGTGTGCTGCGTTTCACTTTCCCCATCTGCAAAGTGGAGCAGTTAGACATGTATGACCATTAGAGAGTTATGCCTGGCGCTCACAGGAAGTGACAGAGGCCTGCTCCGTTAGGCATGTTCTTCCGTCTTCAGACTCCTTCAGAGAGCATACATTGGTCACTCTTGGAGGCAGTACCCCCAGCTCGTGGAGAGTCCTCTCATGGCTGTGGCAGGTCCCTTCCTCCCGCACCTGCTTCTCCTCTCCGGTCTGGGTAAGTAGAACCATCATCCAGCCAGAAAGCCAGTAGCTCTTCCTGTCCCCTGGCCTCTGCATCCAGTTGGCCCTGCGTTCTTCCCACACTGGCCTCTGGCCACTGATGCTGCACCCAGGCCTGGACTCCAGCAACGGCCTCCTCTCCAGGCTTCTGGCCTCTGGGCTTCGCCTCGTCTTCATGGGCCCTCGTGAATGATTTTTTTTTTTATTGTTACCAATTTGCTTTTTTTTTTTTTTTTTGAGAGGGCATCTCTCATATTTATTGATCAAATGGTTGACAATAAAATTCTGTATAGGGGACTCAATGCACAGTCATTAATCAACCCCAAGCCTAGTTCTCAACAGTCTCCAATCTTCTGAAGCATAACGAACAAGTTCTTACATGGAGAACAAATTCTTACATAGTGAATAAGTTCTTACATGGTGAACAGTACAAGGGCAGTCATCACATAAACTTTCGGTTTTGATCACGCATCATGAACTATAAACAATCAAGTCAGACATGATTATTCGTTTGATTTTTTTACTTGATTTATATATGAATCCCACATTTCTCCCTTATGTTATTATTATTATTTTTTTAATAAAATGCTGAAGTGGTAGGTAGATGCAAGATAAAGGTAGAAAACATA